GATGATGATATTTTGTGTATCGAAATCTATTGGATGAGAGTTCTTCAACTCAATCAACAATGCACATTTCTGGAGTCAACGTACAATGTACAAAATGTAGCATATATAAGATTATTTGTCGTTCGAATTGTCAATGTTTTCTAAATGTTGATTGTGTGCACAAATCGATTGAAGGTAAATAAACAACAACATGTTTAGTTTATTTTTTGCCACATATATCTTATTCTAAATGTTTAAGCTCAATACAGTTGAATCACATGCGATCGGTGAGTGACGGAATAATAATGTGTCCATCGTCCGTAATGTATATAAACGAGGTAGAAAATTCTGAGCCCAGTTTATGTTCTTGTTATCCTAATATCCGTAATTTGATTTAACAGCATTAGGTAGAAGGCATCACTCGAACGGTTAATTCTTTTCGAGGTTTATCGAGTCGACTTAACTTTGTTAATGTTGATATTGCTATTATTATTGCTGGTGTTGTTGTCGTTGTCGTTGATGCTGCCTCTGCTGGTGGTGGTATTGCTGTTGTTGATGTTGTTCATTCGTTGGCTTGTAAACATAAAGCATTTTTTTGCTTCCGAAATTTATGTACCAAGCAAAGCCACAAATCAAAGAACAGAGCACTATACTTGCCTAAATATTTAAGATTTAATTTTGTCGGATATTCTACAAGCATAACAGCATGACGGTGCGATTTCTATGACTATGGACTTGCGTTCACAGTTTAGAGAAGAACCGGAATTTTCCTCTGGATACAGTGTTTTTTTTGCTGATGGTTAGCAAAACGAACAAACGAGCATTTAAGAAGGGATCGAACTGGAAAGGCTGTCGTAAATTTTCATCACTATCAAATTCGATGAAAGGAAAAAGCACATGCTATAATACTTGTGGCATTTCGAAATATTTGCCATTTTATGTGTGTGCATTCAATGCACCAAATGTCTGTTTTAATCGAAAGCACATATTATTTAATGGAGAACCGAATGCACAGATTGTGTAGACATGTAAAATGTCTACTCCAATTATGATGCATGCAATAAATAACATTTCAATGATTCGTTGCTTAATTATCGTAACATATGTAGGATTTTCCACTGGAACCTACATAAAAATAATACAATTTATCGCATTTCCGGACCGATGGAAATACCATTGTGCACATTTACAGCAAAACGTTCTCACTTGCTCACGCATCGCACGCGAACACACATATATGTCATTAAAACTATACAAAAACAGCTTCCGGCTTATACAACAAAACAAATCTCTAACGTATATACGTTCACACACATATATATGTATATAATATTTATTAAGTGGTCGATATAAATTAAATTTAATGTTTCCTCCCTAAAATGTTTATCAATATCATTATTAAACATTACACACATTGACATGGTTTGTTGTGTATACTCGAACATTTTCTTTATTTTGCAAAAACGATACTAGGTGCAGGCTCATACTGTGCTTGTCGTGATCAATGGACTTGAGTCAACCATACACGCACACGATTCATTTGATTCAACACTTGAATATTATTATTATGTCTACATATATTATGTTTAAGCATCGGATGTCTCTCCGAATACACATTCATAAGCATACAAAATATATTCTGAACAACATTACTTCACTTCAGTGATGTCTCTTACTACACCCCGTCCACCACTTGACCGCCATTGCATATACACTCGACCATAATTCATTCAACATATTTGGTTCGGCAAATATGACAACATTGCCAAATGTTTGATGCACGTTCAACTACAAATATCGTTTCAATCGGTAATTAAAGTAATGGCAAGTCACATGATTGTATAGATCAACCACACAATGAGTATTTTTTTAAAAAAAAAAAAGTGTCAAGTGATAACAGCTAGCAAGAAAAACAAAATCTATCGACAAAAAAGCGGAACGTTTTCAGCTTGACAAAAATATCAATGTCATTTCGCAAATATTTGTTCGAATGAATGTCGCGCTTTTTATTTCCCCTATAACTATTTATTTCTTTCTTATTTGCGTAACATTCTTGTTTCATTGCCACATATTTAAAACGCTATTTACTCTGCCACATGATAGAAAGGGGAAAAATGAATGAATTGATGCTTCGACATGATACGTAATTGGTATTGCAAATATGTTATAGTGTCATGAATCGGCGATTGAACAACGATTATGGCCGCATAAAATTTGAATTCGATTTTTATCGCAGCAAAAACTACGAATATGCGCGCGCATGAGGAACACAAACCATCAAATAATAAAAAAATAAGCGCAAAAGTATGAATACGGTTTATTACACACAGCAATAAAATACATATGATAATTTTCTCAGTTCATATTATTCGTGGATTTGTTGAATGCCGTCTTCTTCTCTTTTTTTCTTCATCAAGAATCATTTGCACACTAAAAGTACGAAACGTATTAAATCGAATTGAATGCGTCTCGTAGTTCACTAAAGCCTAATGGCTTAAAAATGCTTTAGCATAAGTGTTAAGTAGACAATATACGTATATGATAGGAACGCAAAAACACACGATTGTTACAATGTACACACTCATTCTCTTGCGTTACTCTTGCCTGCTCTCCATTCTTGTCTCGTCGTTCCATTCGTCTTGCATTTGTGATGTCGAAAAATGAATTTGCACACCCTTCAGTGAATGGGGACGAAGCCATAGTGCCACATCGCGCGCACTGAACCATTTCGACAGCGTTCTTCTTCATCGTTGCGTCGTTTCAATCTTAATACTGAGGTAATTTAGCATTTTGCTAAGGTCCACGAAAAAAAAGGGTGCATATATAATCAAATAGACTTAATGCGGGCCGGATTTCATCCATTGAAGCAATACACACACAAAAAAATGAACATTTATAACCAAAGGTATCTTCTACTTTCTTCATCAACATTCAATGCGTACGAGTGTGCTATTGATATTGCCGGCTGTGTATTATGTTTCTCATCAAATTGAGGGTGAATTTGTATATGTAATATCTTAAACAAAGGCATTTTTGCTATCGCTTGCATCACAGATATTTTTCACATTTATGCCACCTCCATCTCCATTTAGCCAGCAACTTAGACACATTCATATCGTCAATATATTAGGCTTTGCACATTGAATTGACTCGTGCCAATTGCGTGTTTCTTTACCCCACAGCAAAATACACACAAAAAATTTCTCCCGACATTTACAAAAAAAAAAAAAAATTGTTGCACACTGAAGCGTACCATCAACTGACACGGCAACGTAGGGTAACTTGAAGGCATCGCAGAAGAAGGAAGAGGAAAACGGAATAGCAAGCAAAAGACAAACAGCAGAGAAACGCATTAAGAAAACTCAAATTTTCTCTTGCCTATTTGACTCGAATCTTTTCTTGGTTTGTCTTCATTTCATTTGTCCTATTTGCATTTCACATGCACACACATACACAATTCACCGTTGTCTATGAACATCTTCTATTTCGGTTTTTTTTTTCTTCTTTACGTAATAATATTGCGAATGGCATATGCTATGCGTTCCCAGCTGCTGTGTACACAAAAATGGATAGAATTGAAGAGAGTAAAGAGCATTCATGAAACGAATGAAAAAACGTTCCGAACAACAAAAAAATCAAGTCAGAAAGCGAAATGTGTGGTTTTTTTCATTTTTCAACAAACAGTGCTCAATGCCAATGGATCCATTGCTTCGAAACATTTCTGCATTTTGGAATGGTATAATATTGACGCATCAAAGCGTATTGAGTTTTTTTAGCCAGAGCCAGACACACACACACACACACAAAGACACACAGAGAGAGGGAGAGGGAGAGATAAATGACGAAAATATTTATTATTCCATCTTTTTTGCAGCATTTGTGTGTCGACTTTTTCATTTCACCTCTCCCATTCAGCAAAACGAACGGGCAAGCAAACAAGTTCAGATGCGTGTTTCGACAACGAATGCATACGCTGCATAAAGCAGAAGAGAAAAAAAAGAAGAAAAAAGAATTCTTCAACAAGCTTTAATTAGGCGCTCTCACAGTGTATACAACTTTATGCTTAGGATCATGAAGCAATTTTCGAGAGCACTTTTCAGCAATTTGAATAGACGGCAACGAAATTACAAATATTAAAAACATAGGCCACGCATAAATACTACTTTGGAATGTTGATGCAATGGATGCATTCTCTTCATTCGTTTTTCCAGCACGTGTTCGACGAAAATCTCCTTTTGTTTCTCGTGTCTCTTATTTAAACTGCATTGCTTTTCGCTAACTGTATTGATGTTCAGCGTTGATATTTTGGGCGTCCTCTTTTTGGTGAATAAATAGTAAGCCGGTATTTTGATTTTAAATATTTGCAAACGCAAATTGGTATGGCTTAAGATTTATTTACAGATATTAACATTTTTTTTCTGTTCATATACTATGTAACTGTTTTACGTAAATAACATCACCGTTTCATCAATTCAAAAAAAAAAAAAAATCCGCATTTTACGTCGTCTATAAAGTTTTTCACTTAAACACGTTATTTTCCACAATACCAATACTTGCTTATTCACACCCATCCAAACTAAAAAAAAATTCCAAATAACCAAATGATTCAGTAGCGTTATAGTTATTCAGGTGTAAATTAAATTGTGCCCATAAAACAACGGCACAATTACGTGCGAATATTCTATTCAATTTTCGATGAAAATCTCATTAAATATTTGGCTTGATTGGTTGATGGATTTTGGCTCAAATGGTAATCCTGTTCAAAATCTGCGAATCATTGAAATGAAATGTAATGACATGCGAACCCTGTGGGAGAAGGATTCCATAGTTCGATTGTACACACATATATCTGGATATATGTAAGTTGTGTATGTATTCGAGAGCTGCGTCAGTATTTTCACATTTCAATTCATTGGAATAAAACCATCAAATTGTTGTGCTTTTCGGTAGATTCGACCATGAATTATTTATATTTCTCAAATGTATGTATATTTGCTATTTGTTTTACAAGCAACACTTACCCTGAAATGCGGCCTCCCGGCTCAATTCCGATTCAATGCATTGCACAGCAATTACAAGCAGTAGAACAGGTAATCCAATATTTATCCACATTTTATCCCAACCACCGCACATTTTTTGCACCAACATTTTTCACAAGCCAATTTTTATTTCTCTCTTTTCTCTATTCACTCTTTTCTCACTCTCTCGGCGTCGGTCTACTAATATATTCTTTTTTTTGGTTTATATTTTATGTTCGTGGAGTGTTTGCGAAATGTTTTCTTATTATTTTCTTCCCGTATATTATTATAATAAACCCGTATTGCATTCGCTTAATTTGAAACAGAGTGTTATAAATTGGTTTGAGTTTTCGATGTGATTTCACATCAAATTTTCAAAATCATTGCGAGAGTTGAATGGGTGTTGTTAATCGAAAAAAAAGAGCAACGCACTTTATATGTGTACACAAGCACTTATTTATATGACTGCCGACCGACCGACCCACAGAACATTCGTCTTGTGTGCTTCTTAACTTTTGCCTCTTCGGTAATCTCTCTTTCTCTCTCTTTCTTTGGTTTTGTTTTTCTCGGGTGAAACGATGGCCACAAATAAATAACGAATGCTTTTTCACAATAAGACAGTGGAAGCGACTTTAATATTTCATTTGAAAATGCCACTTGTGTTGCTTGCTATTGTTACATCGCGGCAAAACTCCAACCTTCACTACTTTGTCTTTGTCTCTGTCTCACTCTATATCTCTTTTATTCTATTTCGGTCCGTATTGAATTAAAGCATTTACGTGGTCGCCAAACTTTTTCAACGGTGTCTCACTTCAATCTTTCTCTCTCTCTCTCTGTGTATGCGTTGTCTTCAGTCAATTCAACTTCATTCACTTTTCGTTTGTTGACTTTTAACAGTTACAGTTACAGTTTCGTTTCAAATCGGCCTATTTTCACAGTCGAATGGATTGCACAATAAAAATTTGTAATTGATTTATATTACATTGAGTTGCGAGACGAGAAAAAAAACAGCAACCATCGAAACCAAAGCGAACAATTTCATATGATCGCGAATCTAGACTTCACCTTTGGGTTTTTGATTTTCATTTTCTGCGTTGAGCCTTTTTTTGGCCCTGGCTCACTCTTAATATATTATCCGAATGCGTGAGATTGTATGTATTTTACTGTTTATAAATAATTGATGGAACCAAAAGGAAAATTTGCTTGCGGCAAAGTTTTGTTATGGCTCCAATTTCATGTACACATAGGTGCTTTAATTTTTCGTTCCTTTTACTCTCGTCTGACGCACAATATACAATACGTTCGCATGTAATAAGTTAATAGAACTTGCGTGCATTGCCGTTTCTTTTTATATTTTATTTCATTTTATTTCGTTCGAAGGAAAAATGAAAATCCAAAGCACATACAAAACGACATTGACGATATAACGATAGCAGCAGCGATAACAACAAAAACGACGCCGTCACTTTGAACAACGATGGCAAAGGTAAAATCAACACTGAATTTTGTCGTTTTTGTCGCACACAAAAGCTCAAAAGTAACACATAAATTCTCATTCGAATTTCATTTGCAGCGCGTCGCTATTTTCTTTCTTTTCGTCTGTCTCTCTTTTGTCTTACATATATGTATATCTCGTTGAATTCTATTCTTTTTTTTTCTTCTTCTGTCCCTTTCGTTTGTGCTTTGTTTCCGTTGAGCGCTCTGCTATCTGTTTACATTGCACACGCACCGACAAAATTTAGCACATATTCAAATGTTAGTAGATTCAACGCAGCAAAGAAATCATCGAATCTATATCAAATCAACTGAAATACCTTCAAGGGACACGCACGCACATACATAAAAAAGAATACATCAATTTCGTTTTTGGGGAGAGTATATAACGAATGAACGTACAAACAAAAAAATGTATAAAGCAAACGACACAAATTTACTGTAAAATATTAATAGAAAAGAATGGATTCGACAGGAAAAATGTACAAGGCAAAATCCATCAATTGATATATCTTTTATGTACTTATTATTTTGGATTGATTCTTTGTGTGATATGTTGCTGTCTTTTCTTTTATTCCTTTTTATTCAAACGAATATTTTAACGGATATCTCATACAATTTGGTCGAGATGAACACAGAACGAGAAGAGAAAAAAAAAACGAAAATAAAATAACAAGCCACTTTTGATATACACACGAAACCACTTCGATACACGAAACGTACTCAATCACTTGCACACGATGGTTCGCAAAATTGGCAGCCAAGAAATGTTGATATTATTTCTGTTTCTTCTTATCAACACGACGTCTTACCGCACACACCAAAACGCTTTTATTATTTACTTCAAATTCGCATAATCCACAATGTTCGTATCAATAAGCTTTCGTATTTCCTTTGCTTCTTTTTTGTTGTATAAATTGTCTGGTTGCTTGAGGCAAACCGATTATATATGTATTATAAAAAAAAAGAAACACCACCAGTTTCAACTGGCGGTTTTTAGTAAATCGTCCGAAAAATTCAAGTAATTCAATTAATTAAACGCATGGATCTTGTATGAATTTCCCAGTAGGCTAATAACGCGCTAAAACAACCAACAGGGTAAACATTAACCAAGCGACGATTGTTGGTGTTCGCAGAACGAAAATCACTGGTGTCACAACTCTTTGAACTCTCATCTCCAACTAAAAACAGAAATTCAAGTCAACGCACCGACAACAGCGGGCATCATTCAATTGTGTGCTACTGTACGATTCCGAATGAACGGAAAATGAAAAGGAAAAAAATACTTTTCCTTTCTCTCTCGTTCTCACTCTATGACTTTCCTGCTCCCGCTCCCGCTTTATCGTTAATTTTCCACTCTTACGCACACAGCGGTGCGGCGCGCGTACATTAAATTACGAGAAATGGCAGCAGCATGTGTGTTGGTTCTCATATTGTACAACAGTTTCAATGGAAAATCATTTTCCATGCACAGCACACGCAAAGAAGACATCTTACTATTGAGGGGGTGGAAAGGTAATTCATCGATTTTTTGGACTGGCGCACAACATTCCGCCATAGTTACCGTGGTTTTTTTTTTCTTCCTTTGATTAGACAAACATTTTGGCGGAAAATGTCCATATTTTGACAACAAACATTTGTTCATATGAAATAAAAAATTAACTGTTTTTGGTATCCAGAAAATCGTAAATCTTTCATTTAAGAGGTTTTTCATTTGTTTTTCCTATATTTTTGTCGACATTTTTAACTGCCATCTAAACTTGAAATGATTTTAACAAATTTTATCAATAGGGATACGATTGTGACGTTTCAGATAGCATAGTTTCGATGACATTTTGACATTTTTTAAAAACAAAATTTCCCGTTAGTGTATCAATGTATCAAGTGGTCACAAATCAATTTTATATAGTATAAGGTCTTTTATTTATTTCAGTATTTGTCGTACACGTTTTTTTTTTTGTCATCGATACTTCATTATGTCTGAGATAAACAAACGGTCAACTCGTAAACGCACCATAGTAGCTCATGTGATTTCGTCCAGTGAGAGTGAAAGCGAATCAAGTCCGAAGAAAAAACAAAAGTAAAAATTGCACATTGTTCATTTCGTTACAGTTGGTATTTTATTAAATCATTTTACTTTATATTTGATAATATTGTGTGTTTTTTGTCGGTGTTTGTGTTAAATGATAGAAAAATGGGATGCAGTGCGTCAAAACAGAAAGAAGCTGCGAATAATGAATCGATTGATGCCAAACCAAAATTGAAGAAGACAAAATTGACAACCGCAAATAAACCAAAATCAATTGTGGTGGAACATGTCGATGCGGTGAATTCCGATAGGAATGCTGACAATCAACCAGACCAACGGTCCATAACATCATCGTTATCAGTGTCGTCAACTCGGCGACAGTCAAAATTGAATCGCTCACAATGGACCGATGAAGAACTTTTGTGTCAATTACAGCATTTGGATGGTGACACCGGTTCAAACATTGTTCGAATGTTTGACGATGGCAACACAATTCCATTTATGTGCCGGTATCGACGCGAATTAATTGGAAATCTCGACGCAGACGAGTGAGTTGATCTTCAATGCAAAAACAACAACAACAATTTGAAAAATAACACTTACATTTCGAACTTTTTTGACATTTTCAGAATGCGTGAAATTAAAATCACATACAATCACATTAAGAATATTCGGGCCCGTGCCGATACCATCATAAAGGATTTGGACAAACGAAATTTACTTGATGATGAAATTGAAGACGAAATTCGATTAGCGAAATCACTGGACGCTCTGGATCATTTGGTAATTAAGTGGTGCCACTCTGAAAAACGATTTTTTTTTTCACTTTTGATAAAGTTTTGAACACAATTTGGATAATTTCTGTAATTTTTTTTTTTTTGAAATTTAGTACGCACCCTTTAAAGCAGCCAGCAAATCATCATTGTTTGAGCGAGCCAAAGCACTTGGCCTTGAAAATGCAGCTAATAAATTGTTACATGAGCCACGTTGTTCATTGAAATTCTCCGATTTTGTGAAAAAAGACAACGACGGTGTTAATACGGTGGAAAAAGTTAAAGACGGTATCAAAAACATTATCTCTCACATATTCAGCAAAGATGTCGACGTTCTTGAGGCCATTCAAAATGAGTATGATGACTTAGTGTCAAATTTCAAAATATTTTTTATAATAAAAAATAAATTTGATTTCATAGACTAGCACGTCACAATAATGGTATCAAAATTGAAACATGTGAAAATACAAAAGTGACCAAATCACACAAAGATGACATTCCCAAGTCGGAGTTTAAAAATAGCGATAAAAAAGGCGGCGATAATCCAAAGAAATTTGAACTATACTTCAATTTTCAAGGATACTTGAACAATATGCACTCACATCAAACTTTGGCCATTAACCGCGGTGAAAATCTCAAAGTAAATATTCGATGATGGACAATATGATTTTTTATGGAGTATTTTGTTTTATTGCTATCTTGCCTTAGACAAAAACATAGACAGATAAGATAAAGTGTTTTTTCCCTGTTTTACAGTTTATAATGGTTAAAATTGTGATACCCGATCGCATTCAAAACACAATTTACAGGCTTATCCAAAATAAGTACTTTGTTAATGCAGATAATTCAGAGTTAAAAAATCTACTATCAGCCGCATTGAATGATGCATATTCGAAAAAGTGTAAGATAGTCAATTACCTTGTAAAAAAAACGGAATTCAAATCTCTTTTGATTATAATTGCAGTGAAGCCATTGATGAATCGTCAGATTCGATCAATTTTAACTAAAAATGCTGAAAAAGAATCGGTAGATGTGTTTGCGAAAAATTTGAAGCAATTGCTGATGGTAAAGCCAACAATTTTCATTCTGTTCCATTGATTATCAATTAAGTTCTAATTATTTTCATTCTTTTCGTTCTGATTAACCCTAGGTAAAGCCCGTAAAAGGGAAGAGAATTCTTGGAGTTGATCCGGGCTTTAAAAATGGCTGTAAATTGGCATTAATCTCAGAACAAAATGACGTCCTAGCCACCGACACCATTTATCCGCATATCAAATTCACAAACAAAGACAAAGATACAAAACAGATGATGTATGAACACAAACTCATCGACATTTTACGGAAACATAAGTAAATATATTTAGTGAAATTAGATTTTTAAAAACTAAAACTTTGATGTTGTTGTTGTCTTAGATGTGAGATCATTGCGATTGGAAATGGAACGGCGTGCCGTGAAACAGAAGCCTGGATTTCCGATTTGATCGCACGTGAAGTGTTTCATTCGAAGTCAGTTCAATATTGCATTGTAAGTGAGAATGGTGCTTCGATTTATTCCTGCAGCGATGTTGCCAAACGAGAATTCGCTAAAATGGATGTGAATTTAATAAGTGCCGTATCGATTGCACGTCGATTAAGCGACCCATTGGCCGAACTTGTGAAAATTGAACCAAAACATTTGGGCGTCGGCATGTATCAACATGATATCAATGAAAAATATTTAATGGAATCATTAAACGAAGTGGTTACCGAATGTGTCAGTTTTGTTGGGGTCGATATAAATACAGCGAGTACGACAATTTTGAAGTAAGAATCGTCTACAATTTTTTTTTTTAATTTTCAACATTGATTACATCTTATTTTTGTATTTAAACCTTAAATAGGCACATTGCTGGCATGAATGCGACCCGCGCCGAAAACATAATCAAATATCGTGCCGAAAATGGTCCATTCAAAAGCCGAGATGAGATTAAAAAGGTTAAGGCCATTGGTCCGAAAACGTTTGAACAGTGCGCTGGTTTCATTCGAATCGATGCGGTCACGGCCAATGTCAATGGAAAGACGAATATTCTCGATTCAACTTGGGTGCATCCAGAAAGTTATGACGTTTCCAAAAAAATTATTGCCAAATTTCAACTATCACTCAATGATATCGGCAGTGACACATTTATCGCACGAATCAAACAGGCTCAAAATGAAAATACCACAATTGGTGAACTAGCAAAACAATTTCGCATTCCAGAACAAAGAGTGAGTAGATCTGATTGATGTTAACAAACGTTTACAATTAATTTTTCGTTGTTGATGAATTTGAAAAACTTTCGTTCAGGTTGAAGGTATCCTAGAAGCTCTTGCTCGAGAACTTCAAAAGGATTACAGAGATGATGCTGATATTCAACCACTTTTCAAAAAAGGTGTATTGAAAATGTCCGATTTGAAAATTGGAACCATTGTTTCCGGTCGAATCGCAAATATTTGCACATTCGGTTGTTTTGTTGATATTGGAGTCGAACATGATGGACTGATTCATACGTCAAAATTGAGAGGACACACACCGAGTATTGGGGATCGTGTTAATGCAAAAGTCCTGAGTGTGGACATGGCAAAACGTCGCATTCAACTTCAGCTTGACAGTATTATGTAAAGTGCTTATTATCTATTGAATATTATTCTTGTTCCAAATATTATAACCCGCAGATGAAATCTTTGTGTTGAATTTTTTTTATTACGAACTCAAACATTATTCGAAACAAACATAAAATTGATACAACAATAAAAAATGTATAAAACAAATTAAAAACGCAGATTTCGTTGTGGAAAATAAAATTTGATTTTTTTCTATTAAAAAATGTCATTTCAATTTTTGAGAAAATACACCGGAACTATAGGAATGGAGGGTGTATTTTCGAGGTTTAAAAAAACAAATCATCTGTACTTGAAAACCCGATCTTCAGATGATGCCAAATGAATAAATGATTCTTTGACTCAAAATGTTTAAGTATGGTAATTTGATAGATAGATGGATGATATCTTTGGTTTGAGTACATGAATCGAATCCAGTACTAAAACCTTTGTATGGTTTTAACAGTGTAAACACAAAGCCAGAGTAACAGCATGGACAGTGTATGGTTTGTTATTCTTTACCTTTTCAGCATCTAATGTCATGCTTTAACTCATCAAATGGTAAAACAGGTAAAAGACTCTATAATTGTACTATGTGCGTTCATTCATTTATTTCTTCTTCTTCTTCGTCATACGTATTCATCGTTTTCTCTATTTGCACGCACCAGGTCTCTTTAACATTTCGATTTGCACGAAACAAAAATGTGCGAAATATTAAAATTGTAATTAAATAAACATTAGATTTTTTGTCTCGTTATGTGTTTGTTGTTAATTTGTTTTTAGTTTGTCGATTACCAAATATTCTGTTTCAATTTATTTTAAGTTAAAGAAAAAATCTACACTAATGCAGTTTGTCCACGACATCAGATGAATAATGACCTACTTGTCGATTGAAATGAGTTGATGTGTTGTGGTATTTTGAAGTGTGCATCCAAATCAGTCAGTATTAAATTTGTATAATTAAAATTCCATTCCAATCATGGTGAGTATTGATTTGAAATGAATTCAATCGAATCGAAAATTCAAAAAAAAAAAAAAAAATGCATCAACTTGTGTTTGGCATTGTTTTTGTTTTCTATTTCTCATGCATAGAGTTCATCCGAAATTAGTTCAAAGCCGGACGGTAAAGCAGATGACGCATTAAATTCTCAAGAGGCGGTCAATAAAATCGCTAAAACGCTTGAAAAATCACATTATTCATTTTTGGATTTGCGAACAGCTCAAGGCCAAATTCTATTTCTTTTAATATCAATTGCACTGTCTGTACTCATTCAATCACTTCCAAATGGCACATTCACTTCTGTTTTCAATCAAGAGATTCCAACACATGGCCATGTAACCGAAACGGTGCGACACGAATGCAATAAAACGCCGACAACGGCAAGTGCACCAATCAAACGGCCTACTTATTGGATTTTTGGTAAAAGTGAAAACGAGGCACATTTAAAACATGTAAAAAATGTTCTACAACGTTTGGGCTATGAAAAAGTGACTAACGAAACAACCGATTGGGATTTATTATGGGCACATGATTATCCATTCAGAGTGCTCTATCCAAAATTGCACCATCTTAAAGTGCATCAAAAAGTCAACCATTTTCCCGGTTGTGGTTTCATCACGAATAAAGTAGATTTGGCAACGACTGATTTGGAATTCATTCCGAAAGCATTTCGATTGCCCGAAGATCGTGAAAAATTCATTGCATATGCAGAAAAATATCCCGAAAAAATGTTCGTACAGAAACATAATCAACATCGTCATATCAATATTAAACCGGTGAAAGAGATCAATTACAATGATAATGATACATTTGTTCAAGAATACGTTGATAATCCACTTTTGGTCGATGGACACAAATTCGATATTGGTGTTTATGTTATCATCACATCAGTTGATCCGCTTCGTGTTTATATTTATAAAGGTGATATTCTATTTCGATACTGTCCACAAAAATACCATCCATTCGATCCGAAGAATGTTGATAAGTATATTGTTGGCGATGACTATTTACCGGTTTGGGATATACCAAGTTTGGCACCATTTTATAATGGTTTTGGTTTTGGCATGAAACACTCATTCGATGCATACATACGCAGTAAAAATCGAGATCCAAATGGCATTTGGATTCAAGTTGAAGAAGCAATTCGACAAACATTACTGAACAAGGAGAAACATATCATAAATGCGGTAAGTATTCTTCAATTTAAAAACGACACTGACATTTTGATCCAATTTTATTATGAACATTTTAAAGGAACAAAAATAAATTTTTTATTTATTTATTTTTTATAAAAAATACAGCTCAAAAATTACCGACACAAGCGAAACTTCTTCGAAATGATGCGATTTGATTTAATCGTTGATGATAATCTGCGGGTGTATCTCATGGAGGCAAACATGAGTCCGAATCTATCATCGGCACATTTTCAACAGAATACACTGCTGTACGAACAAGTGATCTACAATTTAATGAACCTCGTTGGTATTGGCTCTTCAATTCATCGCGAATCGTTGCGCACACAGTTAGTTAAAATTCTTTCATTTCTTATTATTCATTTCATTTTTCAACCATTTTCTCTGTGATACAGAACAACTGATGCCGAACAAATGATGTCAGCCGACAAAAATATTGCTGTCCATGCTGAGCATTGTACAAGCGATATGTGTGTCGAATCGTGTGAATTGCCTGAATGCGAACTATGTCGACCATGTCTTTCGGCTCAAGATATAAGCGATTTGCATATGGCATATCGTGAGCATGTGAATCGTGGTGAAACCAAACGAATTTTTCCAGTGCCAATAATAAGCGGAAAGTCAGCCGATTTAAGCGAACTTAATGCAAACAATCAGAAAATGTCACGATGGTTTGCGGGAAAATGTGCAATGGAGTCGATATGGTGCTCGTAAAATCACACAAATTTTGTAAATTTTTTTTTTCTTAGAAAATTAAGCTATTTTAACAAATATTTTCGAAATGAACATTTACAATGCTTCCGATGGATGACAATATGGCAAAGAGATGTTTTATCATCTCTTTAACCCGAAGTGAACGAACAAAATAATTGTTGATAATATTTTATGGCCAATTTTATTTTATTATAATTAAGTTGTTGATTATTGTGACCTAAGTTTCTTTTTATTTGGGTTTATCATATTAGTAATAATCAATTGTTTGGTTCAATGGATACATTTTCAAAATCCAAAATCAAATGGTACAAATATTTTCAAAACCATGAGAATGTAAGTCAAAATGTTCATTTGAAATGATTGCAAATAAAGATGGACATTATAAGTCGATGCCTTTTCAGACGATTTTTTTTTCTTATTCATTCTTTTGAGACACGAATCAATTGTATGGATTTATCCAGTTCATTTTGATAGTGATTGGAGAAAAGAGATTAATTATATCAGGGCATTTGAAAGCGAATTGTAATCTTGAATCTTATGGTTAGGATCAATAAAACGAATTTACAAATTTACTAGCCAAACATAGAGATTGAACAACAGTTGTTGACCTACCGAACATATTCTTGTTATCAAATTCAAGATAACAAAGGAACGAAAATCGGTTTTAAATATGCTTATTAATGGAATTGTTTGTTTAAAGAAATAAGTGACTTTGTGCTGCACTGCGAAAATATTCGTCGTATCATAAAATACATTAATGCGTCTGCGCCTATAAATTGTCGCGACCGACTTCAATACTTGTATGCTGAAATTTTTATGATTTGCCGCAAAAAAGTGTATATAACAATGGCGATAAAATACACATACCATTTCTAAAATTCTTGGAAAAAATTGATACGCATCTGTTTTAAATTTCATTCCATTGCAAAAAAAGGAAATAATCGTAAAACTTAAAAGCAGTGGTTTTATGCGCAACATTCGAATATGCAAGCATACGAATGAAATAGTAAAAGAGAGAAAAAAAATTCAGAAAAAAAGAACTAACGCGCATGTGTAAGTAAGGTATACGCCGTATACCTATATTTGCGTCTATGTTGCCATCTAAGTAGATTTGTTTGTATTGTGCACTTCTTTTAACTTGATATTCGACAACCGAAGAGTGACCCTTCGCAGTTTTAAACAAACCTTAGTTATATACATGTTAATTATTTGTCTCCATTTTTGGACAAACCTCTATAATTCTAATTTTTTTGAATTCATTCCATATTTTTTCAACTGCATCCAATAAAATTGTCAAAAATGAAGTTGACATTACTATTTGTTGTGATTTGTGTCGTTACTTTTGCAGAAGGTAAGTTTTACTATAACAAAGAATATTTCTATTGAACCATTTAAATGAACGTTCTTCAAAATGTGAAATTACAATGAAGAAAGACATAACCAAGAACAATTAATGCGCATAATGCATTTCTTTTATAAACCGTAAAGACAACAACAATTTTTTTTCTCGCCACAAAATGTGTTCGTTTCAAGAATGGTTTTAATATCATTTGTTTACTAGCATAATCATATTTTTCAAGTGATTCTTAATAACATTTTACGATATTTATTAAAAATTGATTAAAAAATTCGCTTGTTTTGCAGGATATCGTTTTGAAGAAGACCCGGTGTAAGTTATTATTAGGTGATATGTACTACTACTGTATCGATGCATTTGTTCTCACGCAAGAACTGATAAAACGACTCGATCCTGCCATTACAAAATATCATGGCTAAAAATAACGACCTTTTTTTCTGAATATATTTCAGAGATAAATTGGGAGATGCGCTAGGCCGCGGACTCAACAAGGCTGAAGACGTTTGGGATGATTTAAACGACAGAAGTCCATTCGAAAAATTCCTGAAAAGACTGGGACGAGCTGGTAGAGCGCTTGGAATGGACCCACAAGCATTTATAATTATGGTCGCTATAATCGCATTAATATTGATTATATTACTTCTGAAATGTTGTTGTTGTCGTCAACGGCCCACCGTTATATATGCAACGGCATCGCCAGTGGTCTCCTTACCACCATACAAACGTATGACTTAAAGTAAACAATTCCGAATGCATGCATTTAGTTCGATGCCAAATTGTATGCCAAACAAATTAAATACACATCATAAATTTTGTAAAAAATGAGAACGAAATAAATTTCGCATTTTTTTCTATTTTGAATAAAAAAAAAAATTTTGTTTTGAATTAATTTAAAAAAAAATCATGAGACAAGGATCATTATTAGGTAACATTTTATATGGGTTTTTTTTATCACTATTACAAAAAAAGAACTAAAATTTAACATAATAATTTTTTTAAGTATTCAACTCGATCTCTTTCTTGGGACTTTATAATATAATATGAACCCGAACATGTTCGTTGACACCTTTACTTTAATTCACCTTAATTTTATAATAATTTTCAAATGTTTTCATTATTATTCACTATTTAATAAAAAAAAAATAATAAAATTATATAATTTCCATCCGTTCATCTGTTATTCACCAAAACTGATAGTACTTAAAGTTCTCAGAATATAATGTTAATTCATTTATTTGTCAGAAAAAAATATAAACAGACGTTTAATCGAACTTTATGGTACTTTATTTAAAATGTTTGTATTGTTTTTTGATTAAAACAAAATTTAAAACCATAATAATTCATTGTATTTCGTATACGTTTGTTATCTTCATTTAATCTTGGAGCATCCATCTGAATCAATGAATACAAGTGTAGTGCACTTTCAGATTATTATTTGCTGCAATTTTCACCACTACTATTGACTTGGCATTTGTTAACTTAGCACAATTGTGTTTTGATCGACAAGTTGTTAATATTAATCAGCATATTTGGTAAGACACGCACCTAAACTGTGAATTAATCGATTTTATTTTATAGGTGTGTGCAACAATAGTTCGAGAAAAATTTGGTATTTAAATCTGTATGCACATTACGTGTAAAAGCAAAAAACAATTTATTAAGATATAACAATCATTGAATGGATAGAACATGTTGAACTTCTGTAAAACAAACATAGCGTAACGTTGAAAATACAGATGTAAATGACTCATGGAATAGATTTCCTCAATTAATATCAACTGCGTTTATAAGTGGCAAAATGAAATAAATCATTATCTGCGTTATCTGAAAACAAACATGCTACCTATCATGATGATGAAGTAAAACATTTTTACTGTATAAACACGATAGGAAATGTGTTTGTGTTGTGCATTTTTAATTTGATATTGAACGAATGCAGTTGGCAAGTGAATTAGAAATCTATCAGTTGAATAAATGTCTTATATATTTTTATACAAACGTCCGTATTATATATTTGCTTTTCATAAAACTACCGTTAAAAATGAAGTTCATATTAATGTTGACCGTGTTTTGTGTTGGTGCTTTTCCAAAAGGTATTCAGATTTGTACTCTTGTTAAATTATTATTATTAAATGAAACATTAAACTATTAAAAAACTGAGAAATTAAATGCGTCATATGTAACGCAATTATAATATTATATTGATTAGATTTTTTTTTCTTTAACAGGAATCAGTGGGGGCATATTGTAAGTTATAAAATAAATTAAATTGTAAAAATTGTTGATCATATTTTGTTCACTGAAAATTAACTCAAAAATCGATATCGAATTGAAACGGACATTTTGCTATTTTGTTTGTTTTTTTTAATTCAAAAATTAATAACAAAAAATGTGAACACATTTCAGAGATGAGGCAACCGCAGCTCTCGAAGATGTTTATTGTAGGCAAAAGTACGAAAATTCATTCATAATATCCATATGCAGATTCAGTTTAGCTGGTGGCAGACGATTTGGCATTGAGCCGGGAGTTTTTCTATTTATTTTCCTACTGATCGTATCAATATTGATTATAGCCATTTCAAAATATTTATGTTGTCCGAGAAAAAAACACATCATAGTGTACACATCGAGATCACCACAATAAAATATTGATATTATAAACACAATCATATGTCGGATTGAGTAAAAAATCAAATGTACAAATTTAATAACAATTTAAAACTGAATGGAATTTGAAATAAATTATACATTTTTCAATTTTGGATGGAAATTATTTTGGTATATTTTGTCATTGTCTGAAAACGCTATAGGCTTGTAATAGTTTTTTTTTTCAATCAATCATTATGCATTTGTAAGTATAGCACTGGATGTTAGTTGAGGATCAGTGTTTGTAGTAGAGGTACACCACCCACAAATGCACAAAATGGGTGGTTGAAAAAATCAAAGCATTTCTATAAATTGTCTTTTACGCGTAGTTTTCATCTCGAAACATCATATTCCTTTCAAGACTATTATTTAGTAAGTAAAATTATAAGGTTTCTCATAATCACCGCAACAAAATTCAAAGTTTGCGAATTTTTCTTAGAAATAAATAAACATTTATTTCAGTATATGAAATTCGATAGTATGAAATTCCTCAATTATTCATTCGATGACGAATCCACACAACGATTAATAATTCCGGCACACCGGAATGTAAACAGAGTATAAAAGCAACACCAGTAATCTTTTTTCTTCTTATGAATTGAAAATAAAATACTTTAGGAGTCTTAAATTCGATTAGGTTCTGTTCTTCTATTTTCAGCCCATGTTAAAAACAAACTAAAAAAATCATTTTAATAAAAAATATAATACAGCTTGAAAACCCATGTTAATATTTGGATAATTCCACGTTATTAACGAGAGAAAATAAAAATTTGCTTTGGTTAATCGTTTTTCTCACCAACTCACTATTATTCTCAATCATATCATATTTTATGAAAATTATTTGACCTGAATGAAAAACTACACATACACACCAACTAATATATATAATATACTATAATAAATTGGTGCAAAATGGTAGAAATATTTTTAATCAAATATTTATGCGCATTCCATTGACCCGAATATGTTCAATGTATGAAAGTGAATACGCTCACATGAATGTCAGTACAAAAAAAAATTGATGTTTTTTTTTGAAGATGTTAAAAATAAAAATGTAAATGCATGTTTTGAAAAGTGTTTTCTTTTTTTTCTGAAAATGAAATCAACGTAAAGCACTCAACTTGAAAGTGTTTTCCATTCACCATTTCAATAACAATAATTTTTATTATAGTAGCAAAGAGAGTGAGCGAGTGAAACCACGACGTTTACAATTTGTGTTAATTGAAAACGAACATTTGCCGTCGATATGACTTTGACCTTGATACCAACAATTATGTGGTCGTCAATCACTTTACCCGAAATTGGCGAAATGTGCAGGCGATTTCTTTGAACCTATTTATTTTTTTTTATTTATGGATTGCCTCGACGGTTGATTGAACGCGCAAAACGTGCGTTTATCGGGAAAAAAAATATTAGCTTATATTTTATCCTCCTCATTCATGCATTATGTATAACAACATCATCGACCATATGACATTCAATAGCCTCGTGTTTTGATGTTTGTTGATCCAATCGAAAATGCTATGGCAACCAATTTAAACACGAAAACATACGGTCAAACTCAATAGAGTCAATCAAACAATGAAAATAGATTGTAGGCGAAACATTACATGAATTGATTCACTTACCAATTTTTTTTTATAAATTGAAAGTTATAATTCTGTGATTTTAAAATTAAACGAAAGAGAAACAATAACAACGCTGAAATAATTGAATATCAAATATCTGTATCGTTCGGTAAAACGATAAAATTACAAATAGCAAGGAAATTAAAAGTAAAAAAAAAAAATGAAAAATTCACAAAGAATCACACCGAAAATTCCCGATGGGATGGTGGAATTAATGAAAAACCTCGCGAAAAGTGTGTTAAAAGAGCAACCGGAGAATATTTATGTGTTTGCAGCAGAGTATTTTGAAAATTTGGTTCGTGAACGAGATGGAAGTTTAAATAAAGGATATACAACATTTCGTAAGTTCGATGATGAGAATGCATTGCAAAGTGGTGTTGATGTGTGTCCCCGATGCAATTGCATATTGCATCCCAAACGAAAGGATGAAGAGCCCATTGACGATGATTCTTCACCAAGAATTGATGATGAAAACGCACTCGACATGAGTGTCAATGGTGTTGCAATAAAAGCTGTTCCACGCGACGGTGGTAAATCATCGAAAGGATCGAAAAATCGTCAGCGCTTGGAAACGATTCGCAGTGTATCAATGGATAGTGCAATTGAAGATGATGGCAAATCGATATCACCAAAACCAAATGGAAAATCACAACAACAATCAGCCGATTCACAGAGATGTTTATTCGATATAAATCCATTGAATGCAACCGACCAACAAATGTTAAATCAAACCAATGAAAATAAAGCAAATAATGAAAATGTGGACAACATTGAAAAATCAATTGAAAATAATGCAAACGATGAGGAAATCGTTTCAATTGAAAAAGATATTATCACTGAATTACCAATAAATGAAACAATTGTTGAACCAATTTTAACAAATAAATTCGATGACGACGTGCCCGATACACCAACAAATGATACGAGTGTCAGTGAAACAATCACCGATAGAACTGTTATTGAAGTCGCACCATTGAATTTTGAATCAAAAAATGACGAATTGAATACATACGACTCGACTCAAATCGATGAATCAAATTCGGACACAAAATCAAATGACACACAAGCTGATTCAATACCCACAGTTGTGGAACCAATTGAAGAGCAAAATACAACCAATGACAATGTAATTAAATCGATTGAACCCATCAATTTACCGTTAGAACAAGTGAAGCAAATGGATCGTTTGCGAACACCTGAAAGTGATTCGGGCCTATCGGAAAAATCATTCAATCTCAATATACAAGAAAATGAAGAAGCCGTTACCAATGAAGTGAATGAAGCCAAAGCTAATATGTACATTGAACCAGAGAATGTGTTGCATGCGAAAAACAATGAATTTGATACAACTTCTAAGGACGATTCAGGCATCGTCGACATCGATGAACATCAAAATAATTTTGATTCGAATAATGAACATGAAGTGTCATCCAACTTGAAAGAAAACCAAAATGAAGGGAAAAAAGACAGTGGAATTGAAACTAAACGAAACGATTTAACTATTGAAGAACCTCGACATATTTCAAATGCAACAAATGATGCTGCAAAAGAAAAATTGATTGCAAATATTTCGGAAATGGAATTGAATACAAATAAGAACCAACAAGAAAATGCTTTGGTGAGTGAAAATACCATCGAAACAGAGAAGGACGTAGTAAACATTGAACCCACAGAGAAGCGCCAACAATTTGACCTTTCGAAGAAGCCAGAAGATTCTATATTGCCATCGATGTCTGATGATAAAACTGCAACAATTGAGGCAAAAATTGTGGATCAACTAGAAAATAAGGAGCCGTCAAAGGATGATGAGGTTGTTTCAGAATCTGATTCGAAGCCATTGCCGCCAATCGATAGTGATTCAAAAGGTGAGACTTTAATCGAAAATAAAAACGAAAAGGACGAGGTCGATGAAGTGAAGAATTCTGCGTTAGGGCTCGAAAGTACAAATTTACCTGAACAAACAAGTGACCAAAAACAGTCTAAAGCCGCACAATCTACGCCAGAAAATGTTGTATCAAAAGAAACAAATGAAGAATCTATGGAAAAATCCACTTTGGATTCAAAGGAAGCGCCGAATCAAGAAAATACAACTAAAACAGAGAAAAAACCGAATCAAACTGAGGAAGTGCCAAGTCAAAGTGAGCTAAATGCTGAAGAAAATTCATTGAAAGAAAAACCAAAAAAAGATCTCACAGGAAATTTATTGAATGAACCCGATACAAATGAAGAAATAAAAAAGGAAAATGTTAATACAAATGAATCAACTATTCAAACCGACGATCAACCAAATGTTAATAAATCGATTGAAATCCTATCCATTGAAAGCAAGTCTCAAGAATGTAGTGAGCCAATCGATGAGAAGATGGATCAAAACCAGCTCAACACAACTGTGACCCAAAATAAATCATCAACCGAAGAAAACAATGGATCAGCCGAAATGGTAGCCAAAATCGAAACAGGCCAACAGTCCCAAGGTCCAGTCGAAAACATTGATGAAAAATCAAGTCAAAACCCAATCGATGAGACGATTTCCTTAAAATCGATTCCTCTTTTGGCGAAAACAATTTCAAACGCGGATGATCACAATGAAACAAAACCAAAGGAGTTGTCTGAAACAATAGTTGGAGAAAATGCACCAGAAGAAGACAAAAATACCATGGATCAGCCTGAAATTGACTCAAATTCAGTTAAATCTGTGATGAGCAAAGATTTTGATAGCAAGAGTGATAACGAAGAGTCATCGGGAAATTTAATGGAAGGTGAAAACAGTAAAAGAAACAAACGTCAAGCACCCACTTTAGATGACGTCTCTGATCAAACGGAAAAGATCGAGAAAATGCCAACCGACGCAGTGGTGGAAAAGGGAGAACGAATGCCAGATACAATGGGTTTAAGTTATAGTATTGCCAAATCGGAAGTAGACACAAGTGATAATGCCAAAAATGAAGAAGATTTAAAAAGAACATTTCTTGAACCGGAAAAGCATGCTGAACAAATCGATGGAAAATCAAATGAAACACAAAATAAAGACACGCCAATGGAAAATAACAATCAAAGTGAATCTGAAGCAATTGAAATGGCACAGGATGTTCAAGAAATTGTTCAAAATTCAGTTAGAATACCGAGCGTCACTGCAAATGAAGAAAAAATTACACTCGAAGAAAATGCAAATAATAATGAAAATCAACCAGAAATAGTTGCATCAGACGCAACAATATCACTTGAAAGTGAACCGATTTCAATTCCAATAAATGAGAATAATAACAACAAAGATATTGAAGAATCAATTGAACCATTAAACAACGATGACAAAAGTTGGAAAAAAGTAAATGATAAGGTTGTCGAAAAAGTTACCGACCAAGATGCGAATCAAACAGAAGGTTCTGTATCGCCTTTATCTGCCGATACTTCGCAAAATCTCATTGACGATATCGCGGCTCCAAAGCCTGCAATCCAAACTGCCGAGGGTAAAGAAAGCGAGAAAAGTTTGGCAACTGACTCAAATGAAGCGGTACATTCAACCGATGTCAAGAAAATTATTGAAAACAACCAGATTGAAGACAAGCTAACTGAACATGAAGAGGAAAATGATAAGACGAAGGTTGATTTACCAGTTAAAAGTGAAGTTTATGTGAATAAAGGTCCAAATGAAATTGTGGCAGAAAGTGTAAAAGAAAATTTCGATGAAACTAAATCGATTCAAGGGAATGAGTCAAATGAATTTTTTTTAGATGAGCCAATGAAAAATGAGAACTCACAAGCTATCGACGACATAAAAAATAAAGAAGAAAAATCAGCATCGCTTGATGCCAACAAAATTGTTGTAAAAAATGAAAACGAAAATAAATCTGAAAATGGCAAGCCATCAAATGAAAATGACAGCCGTCACCACAGCGTGACTGAAAACGATCAAGTAAAACAAGAGGATCGTAACGAAAGTGATCAATTAGAAGCGAAATTGGATTTAACTACGAACGATGAAACAGATGATGTTTATAGTACACCGCCCGACACAGCAAATAACGACCGAAGTTCGGTATCACACGATCAAAGTGTCGAAATTGATACAAAACGCAAGTTGAACGAAAATACATCGAATGGCGAAAAAAGTGAGGAAAATATGAAAATCAATGAAAATAAAGAGGGCATTATTGAAAAAACCAAGCTCGATTCACCAAACTTGGAAGAAAGCAATTTGGTTGATGAGGTCAAGCTAAATCCAATTATGAATGCAACGAATTCAGAAGGTGTGAATAAAAACAGCATCGAAATGAGTACAATGCCAGCGGAAGAAGCGAGCGTCGACGAGACTGATAGTAAAATTACAAAGAATGGTAACAGTACTGAAAATGTAAATATTGTAGACGAGAATAAAAATTTCGAAAATTTAAGTGTTGACAAAAAAACAGCAAACGAAATTGATCACGCGTCTGATTGCGAAATGAAAACCAATAACGAAGATGTGGCCAGTGAACTGAGTGCATCGGCTAGAGATGAATACGAACAGGCTGAAACTGAGGCCATTGGCGATGAGAGCGTTAAAGATTTGGATTTATCATCGAATCTCGATTTAGAGCCAAATCAAGCAAATGAAAGTGCTGAATCAGAGCAACAGATAACTGCCGTTGAAATTCAACTACACAATGATAATGATAGCATTGATTCACCACAACAAAATCAAATGCAACCCGATTCATTGGATATATTGATCGATTCACTTGATGCGTCATTGGAACCATCTGTCGACGCTGATTCACTTAACATCGACTCATTGAACGATAAACCAAGATCGGCAAAAAGCACCGACACTGGAAAACGCAAAGATTCCATTGATGGTATCATTGAGGAGGATGCATGTCTAAATTATGGAACACACGACAAAATGGAAAAACAACCATCGGAACAAAGGGCGTCTGATAGTAAGTAATTTTCAATGTTTTAAACATTATACTGAATATAACGAATTTATCAAGATTTTTTTTTTTTTTGTTTTTGAATTTTGAGCCAAATAATTTTGTTTCTGTTTTCTTTCAAATATTTATATACATATATATTTTGCAAGCCAACAATCAATTTTAACAATCAATTCTAGTTCAGCAAACAATGCGATGACATACTTATATATTTTAATATTTTTTGCCGTTTGATTATATTTAGCAACCGAAAACAGAAAAAATGTTTTCTTTTTGAATTTTGTGAGCAAATAAATGCACGATTGATTTAAAACCAGAATAAAATGTAGATTTCCAATTATTTTGTTTTAAAGATGACCGTCCTTTTTTTAGCTTTAGCTTCGTTCGGAATGATTGTTTGAGTTTTGAATCTTGTGTTTGTTTTGTGCAACAAATAAATAATGTGGTGAGAAAACTTGTGGTTTCCTTTTACTTTGTTGATTTGAATATGACCATATGCACTATCTCATAACGTTCAATTGCACTAAATCGATGCACTTGTTTGAATTTTTTATCAATTAAAATACACGTCATTTTTTTGTATGCCTTGCAAATATGTTGCTTAGAAAATGCACCATTTATCACTGTTCCATTTATGCTAAAAATTCTATTGATTTAACGAAATGGTTTTCTTCTTTCCAAAACAGACTCAAATAAATCGTTCCTATTGGAAGTTCCAAAGGTGAAACTAAACTCATTGGAGGAACGAAAACAAATCGAATCACCGGAAGAAATAGCAATGGGTGATGCGGTATTAGACAACGATCAAATGCGAAATGAATTGGAAGTTTTGCGACTTGCCGAAAATTCTGCTCCAATGCCGAAAGTTCAAGAAGTCGATTCTCCAGTGGTTCCAGAACAAAATCAAACTATGAGCATTACAGCCTCTGATAATGATGAACCACATAAAAAGAGTGTAAGCGAACCGAATTCCGAACAATGTCAAAAAGATGTTAAAAACGAAAATAAATCTGAAGAAGATTACAACGAACAGATTGAAGAGACAACTGATGTACAAACAAAAGATCAAGCCACAAGCATAACAGAAAGCTCAAATGAAACTAATTCAAATGGAATAACCGAAGATCAAACCGAGCAAAGTTTCGATTTAAATTCCACAACAAACGATTCATCGGAGAATCAAACGACATCCGATGAAATTGTTGAAGTTGTTGAAGTGGTCGAAGTGGTGGAAATTGTCGAAAAAATTAAATGTGTTGATTATTTAAAACCATCACATGATACACAGAGCAGTGATTTATCCGATACAGATACAACTGATAAAGCCGAAGAAAAAGCATACACCGAATCGGGTGTGGATGAAACGTCACGCGATGAACGCGATGAAGTGTCCGAAATTGAGAATTTCGATTTATCGTCATGTGGCGAAGATTCACTAGAGGCCATGTATTATATGATTCGTAAAAATGAGATCATAATGGATCGGCACAAGCAAACCGGTGCCAAAAAATGCGACGATGAAAAAATAACATTCCCCGAAAAGGTGACGTATGATTTGGAACATGCGGTGTCTGAGGTGTCTGGTAATAAGAGTAAATTATGTTCAATACCATCAATGAATAGTTTCGATGAAGTTGTATTGAAGAAAATGTCGAGCGACAGTGATGAGATTCAATTGCATGTAATTCCAAATGACATGAGCAGCAGTGATCAAAAATCATGCCCATTAAAAGAACAATGTACGGCCAATGAGTCGACCGATGACGAATATATAAATCCAATTGTTGATTCAATGCAAAAAAATGAAGACGCCTTAAATGAAATGCATGCCAAAGCTTTAAGTGTACAACCGAATCGTAGCGATACACAGTGCGATGGTGACGATCAACAATTTGAAACCGATACATTTAATGAGCATTCAATCGATATGGATCCGGGTAATATTGAACGAAAAATACTTGCGTCATCTGTGTCTGAAGCCGATTCGGATTATTTTGAATTGCCGCCGAATGCCAACAATCGTTTAACAAAAGATGATTTCAATGTGAGCACAGCTTTTGAGCATATGATTCGAAGCGAATCAACAACCGACGATTCAGATTCGATTGAAAGTGCAGCAACAAAAATACAAGCCGGTGCAAGAGGTTTTCTAGCAAGGCGTCGCATTCGAAAATCGGCTTCAAATGAAAAACGGTCATCGATTGGTAATGCTGCAATCGATAAATCACTTGATAATTTAATTGAACAACAAGAATTGTTGGAAGAAAATGCATACATTGAAAGTATTGAAGAAAATTCACCACAGAGCGATACATTTAATAATAAAACGTTTGACAGTATTGACAGTGAGAAAATACTCGGAATAACAGAAGTCAAGGTTGAACACCGTAAGGATGAACCACATACAGATGACACCGGAAGTTTGGACAACGTAAGCAATGACGAAAAAGTTCCAGAAATAAATATTCAGGGCACATCCGAAGAGAGTGCTACTCAACAACGACGGGCAATGTTACAGCGCGGTGACGCAATGCAACGCAATTCAACACCCGAATCATCCGAACAACAAATTGACAAAGAAAAATTAAATACAGAGCCAACAAATAAAGAGGAAAACAACAATCAGGACGAACAAAAAATACATGACAACGATACAAAAATAGACGCTCCTTTGGCAAACGGTGAGCTCATAAACAACAAATTTATTTTCTTTTAGACAAACAAAAATTATTCAAAATTATCAATTGTTTCGGTTATTTCGTTCATTGTTTTTTAATAGCCTCCAAACCATTAAATAAACCAATGAGAGGACTTGGTCCACGACAACGTTCGATGCCAGTTCAGATTGATTCTCAATTGATGCGAGTCTTACCCAAACACAAAAAAAAGCGCATCAAGAGCGCCAATTCGAATACGAAAAATTTACGACCATTTTTCTTTTAATTGAATTCAATTGATCTTTAGGACCGTAGATGTCAAGTTTTAGTAGCTTTTAATCATACACACACACACACACACACAACAAAAAAACATTACTATGTGCGTAGAAAAAATATATTTTATAATCATACTCATTAGCATAAGTTTATAGCCAAGTGAAACTGTATTTCAAATTGAAAAACCATCTGGTTGTCATTACAAGATGAAAATGTTTGCAAATAAGGTGAGTAAAGCGTCGAATGGAGGTAAGTCTAGTAGTTCGAATTGAACTATTGAATCAGACTCGAATGCCTTTTTTCGTGCATCACTTGTTTTTTTTGTATACCCAATATGCATAAACAAACTCGCAAACTAAAAATGAATATAGTAATTGCTTGTAGGCTCATTGATCAAAATTCATTATGACTATTTTAATGTTGAAATGTTGCGCAAGCATCCTGGATTCCACATCACTTAGATCGATTGCCTGAAAAGGAAAGACAGACAATGTTCAACACGTGATAGATTCCCCCCAAAATGAAAATAAACCAAAAAAAAAAGATCAACGCCACCAGACCATACTAGTTCTTTGATGTAAATATTGAAATTGATGTTGTAACCTCATCAAAATAATTGATCTCTATGACGCCAATAAGCATTTGTGAACGACTTTTTATTTTTCATTTCCCTCTCTCTCTCTCTCACTCTCTCTCTTCTTCAAATCAGTTCACGCGAGTAAAATTATTCTATTTCTCTCTCTATCTCGTACACGCATCACTATCAATGTAGATAGTATAAAGTGTGCGAATGATGAGAGAAAAGTTTTTTTTTATTTATCATAGGTGAATGGAAAAAACAAACGGTGAAAAAAACTAACAATTTATTGAAAATAATCAACAATAAAACAAAACATTTATATTATTTGAAATGGAAAAGAGTGAGTAAGAGAAATAAATTGAAATCTCACACTCAGCGTTGAAGAGAGTAAACAACAGCGAACGCGAATGGGAACTCGCATGCACATGTTCATGCGATGTGTATATTTAGACATATGTGTGTGCGCGCGTTGATGTTGTGTATTTTATTTTTCGTGTTGCTTGTCGTTGTTGTTGTTGATGATGATTTTTTTTTTTTTGCAATATCTAAGAGCATTTCGGGAGAGAACGCGCGGATACGAAAGACAAGCCACATACAGCGTTTGTGTTATAAACAGCCATACGACAACACCGTATATATAGACACACAAAACGTGTTTTCTTCAACGCGCTTTAATTGAAAAATCTTCATTAATTTTTCACGATTCAGTTTGCTAGCAACTGTCCACAGAGTAAGCACGCAACACAAAAGCGAAAACAAAACAAAGGAAATCAAGCAACATTTCAAATTTTTCAAGACGAAAAAGTAAGATCGCTGCATCAAATCGAGAGAAAATTCTTTAACAATATTCGTTTGATTGATCAATTGAAATTAAGCGAGAAGAATAATAAAAGAGTAAAAGACAGAGAAAAAAGAGTGCTAAAAAAGTTTTAACACGAAATCGTGCGCAACAGTTTTTTTTTTAAATTAATCATTTTTTTTTCTCCGAATCGAGTGAAACAAAAACAGTTCTCATCAAAGTTGTTATTTCATTAATCAAATTTGCATCAGTTGAATAATTATCGTTGCCGACAAGAATATTATCTGACAAAAGAATACATAAAGGAAGATAAAGTACGAGAAAAAAATGCATATTCATCCAAGTTCACCGAGTTCTTCGATATCTGAAGAAGATGCAGCAATTAAAATTCAAGCTGGTTTTCGGGGATATCGTGTACGAAAACAACTGAAACAATGCAATGGAAATTTGGCATCGGGACAATCAAATCAACGCAATGCAAACAATGCATGTGTCTATCGAAACGATCGCAGCGAAGAGTTGAATGGCCAACGTTACAAGTCTAGTAAGCAATTGGATAAAGAAAAATGTGCAACAAAAATTCAAGCTGGCATTCGTGGATTTTTGGTGCGAAAAAAGCAAAAAGTGGCATCCGATGCGGCTATCAAAATTCAGGCTGGTTTTCGTGGTTTCCGTGCTCGCAAACAATTGAAAAGTCTGAGAGAATGATGGTGGTGGCGTCATTCGAAACCAAATATCTAACCTAAACATAAAGTGAGAGAGAACAATCAACAACAAAATTAAAATATTACACAAAAATCGTTCATTTCTCCTCCAACGATAAATAAATTATACTTTTTTTTTGTGACATCGCCGAGAATTTTCTTTTATATAAATATTTGTAGTTTTAGTCCAAAAAAAATCCTCCAATTTGTAACACAAATAAGGAAATCTCATCTGGAAATTTAAGCGAATTCCATTTTTTATCAAAGAAAAAAAAAACTAAATCAAAAAAAGAAGAATAAACAGAGTAATTATTCTACCAATAAATGTACACTGTGTGCCGAGTCCCGTTTAGATGTCGATAGATTAGCAGTTAATTTGAAACTTGCGCGCGCTCACTCACACATACAAACATTCACACACAAATGTACACTAGCCGGATTTAGTAGTATCTATTTATTTAATTGAATTTATTGTTGTTTCAAACGATTTGAATTCCAAGACCGATTCATAAATACTAAATAAGAATGAGATAGAATAAAAAGTATAGAATCATGCTTAATAAACATACGGTGCGCATTGTATACAGTCTGAGTTAATGAAAACGCGCTTGAATTGATTTGTATAAAATAGTCTAACCTTCGTTTAAATTTATATGTCAGATCGATTGCTATTTTTTTTTTCATCGATTACATGTGTATTTTCTTTTACTTCTTTTTTTATTCATCGACTACGACGCAAGCACACTAATTGAATATGTAATCCTTCATTCTGGATTTTTAGTGTAACCAATTCGGCAAGAGTGAAAAACAAATTGTCTGTTGGAATTGAATTGAAAATAAATAGAAGACGAAAAGAAGAAAGCACCAGTTGATCCATGCAGTTTCATAGCCAAAAAAACATGCAGATTTTAATTTCGAAAACTGAAGAGGGAGAGGAATGTGTTTGTTTGAAAACTCACTCAACGGCTGCATTCGACTAAGAAGCAATTTAATTTAAGTAAATAGATTATAAGCAAATACAGTAGCAGAACATTTCATATTCGAATAAATCTTCTTTTTTTTCATAAATAAATGGTATAATTGTATGTGTGTGTATATGTATTGTAAAGATAGAGATCGTAGAGTAGGCAATAATTTTATTTAATAAATGAAATTATTTGAACCGAGAATAAAACAAAAAAAAAATTGAAAGAAATATCTAAGCGTTTGTTTATTTTAGATATTTTAATTGATGTTGACAGGAAAAGTATGTTCGGTTCTATTAGGCTGACGATTGTGTTGCTGCTAAGCCGCCCGGTCCCGAGTATGTGTGTGCTTGGAACCGTTCCCAATTTCAACGTCAGCCCAAAAGAAATGACGTGATACGTGAAACTAATAACCAACTTTTCCCTCATTTTTGGTTTTTTGAAAATGTATGCGGTTCTTTTTTTTCAGCTCCTTTTGATTGTAGTTTTTCATTCGCATCCGGCCAACTAACTCGGCGGAAGCAATGGCAGGCAGTGGCATTGCTCGATGATAGATGATGAAGTGGATTTAATTATTTATTTAGCATACGGTTTGGCACTACAATTGAGTACGCATTTGATAGGGAATACAAGTGGCCACAAATTTATCGAAAAATACCATATCGATTTACTTATTTTATGATCGACACACAATTAGCCATCACCTTATTCTCGAGTATCCTTTTAAGTTGCCGAAATACGTTGTATTGAAATGAAATGAATACCGACCGGCACGGTATGACGTCTTTGGCACAACCGTGATATGCACACATACACATATAAAACGACGGCTAATTTTATTAATACAATTTGATGGTTAGGTGTTTGCTAATGAAAAACAATCGTGAATGAAAAATCATCGCCTTAGAAAATAATAATGAAAAAAACAATCTATATAATGCTTCAGAACATAAACAAATTATGAGAAATTAAATACGCACATTGAAAACAGCAACAATAAGATCGCCCTTCGTCTAAGACAAAGTAAAGATTTGTTTCATCGAGAAATCACGATTAATATACATTTCGAGGCAAACATTTTCATTAAACTAGCAATAAAAAAAATATATGATCCATATACACATATGGTCATTTGGTTCTTTTTTTTCATTTTCAATTCAAATCAAACAAACAAACAAAAAAATACAAATATGACTAATCTATGCTCATGTTTAGATGCTATAATATATGTTTCGCATTTAGAACTAACTATCTTACATGTTAAGTGTTGGTGAAAGATAGAAAGGGAAAAAAACGTGAAAATTGAAACCTCATTTTGCATTTTTTATTGTTTCACACGCAAAAGAGGAAGATTTTCATACCAATATTAAGCTGTAAATTATATATATGATTTAAATGTTGAGTCAATCATAGAGAAAAAAAACGATAGAAACAAATTTCTGTTTGTCTCATAAGATTTTAACATGAATTGAATATGCTCGGAAAAATCCGAGCTGAAAATGTAAATTTAAAGTGGAAGAAAAAAAAATGTATGTTTGTAGAGATTGTGGTCCCATTGAGAGAAAATGAGTTTCAATGTAAATCGATTCAATTAAAACAACAATTGGAGAACAAAAAATATCAGAGAAACACAGCAGTGGCAGTAACTAGCAGTAGCACCAAGAGTCGCACAAACCTAATGAATGAACAACACCGCAATTGTTTTATGCATCAGCACTATTATTCAATCTTCGATAAATATCTCTGTCGGCTGTGATTATGATTGCATGTCGTGTTAGCATGGGAGTGAGTGCGCTGGGTGAAAAAAAAATGTTATTATATGTACACATGGGTAATCATCATCATGTGGTTGATTTTTGTTGTTTTCTTTTCCGTATATTACGTTTTATTTCCAATTTTAATCGATTCTTTCAGTTTGATTTTGTTTTGGCGAAAATTAAACCAATCAACCGGCGATTCTACATATGTTTATTTTTCTCCCTTTTCTCTCATCTATATCGTTTTTGCATCAGTGGCGTCGTTAAGTGAATGAGAAACAAAAAAAAACTCCCGCTTTTTTAAATCTCAAGTGAACGCAGAACAAAAAAGAGACGATCCATTTGAATAAAAATAAACAATTCGTATTAAATTTCGACGGCTGTATGAGAACGTTACCATAAAAAAAAGATAGACGGAATGTCGTTCATGATTTTTTTTTGCGTTCACTTCAATACTCAACTTACAGTATCATACATAATGCATATTAAAATTAATAATATACACGAAAAAAGAAAAAAACACGACAATTGTGTGCGCCCTTTATTTTAGAACAGTGACATATGTATGAATCGGCCAACGGATATTATTTTAAACACTCGGGTCAACACTCAACGACGTCAGTGCGACTTAACGTTTACAAATGAACAAATGCGTCTGAATGACAACGACGTCATTTGGCAATTGGCTATATGGTCGATGTGTCGTGATAGGCGCGCACCCGCTCACAGCCACAAAACCATTCTGGCATTACAACCATTCAAAACAACCATTACGTTATTTCCTTGCCTAATATACAATTTACGAGAAATTCACTTCATTTACAAAGTGAAATCATTAATTTGACCATGTAAGCATTTGATTGAAATGATGATGCTACTACTGATGATGATCGTCAGCAAAATATATTCGGATACACACCGACGACCTCTTTCTCTCTATCGCTCACTCTCTTTTAATCGAAATAGATTCGGGAGCGTTGTTATGATCTAAATTAAATGCAGGCCGTGTTGATAGATTTTGAAATAGTCACGTACAAGATTTATATGTTTGGAACATCGAAAATGCGTTTCGATGAAATGTGCCTGATTCTTTGCATCATCATCCTAGTCATCTAATATACGAACACACACATACACACACTCGCATTACCGCCCGCATCCATACAAGCCGAGCCCAAAACAAAACATATTTATTTCCGTGATTTTTTTTCCGGAAAATTTGTTTGACGTGTGTGTGGCAGCGACAACAGCAAAAACCGTGTCATACGATTTATTTATGTAGGTGCGTGGTTAAATCGCTTCCAAAAATATAAAGCCACAAACAAATCAACAAAATGACAAAAAGTCTGCTAAAATTAAATTGCGATAATATGTTGATTGAGCAGACTAGTGGCCGATGAGACGACTGATTTCCTCGCACATACAACGCAATCGCTGTGACATATGATCACCGTGGCCACAGTTCAATTCAACAACAACAACAAAAAAAGAAGGAATACGATGACAAGAAATAGATTGAATAAGTTTGTCACAGAGAGAATTCGTCAATTTGAATGAACACATAAAATTAACATCGAATTAGACATGTTTATATTAAAGATCCGGCATTGGCACATATAATTTTAAAATTGGTATAATTTAAAAGTAATTTTCCGGCGACACAACTGGTGTAACCGTTTGAGATTTAAAATGACTTAATTTGCGCAAAACATATGGATCATTTTGAATAAATGTGTGTCTATGCTCTATGGCACCCAGAAAAAAACATTCTATTCACTATGAATCATTCAACAGGTCAATTAAATGCTAATTAGCAGTTCATTGTATATAAAGTGCAAGCTGAAATAATTGAGGCAGCGCAGAAGCGGCGTCTTTGCAAAATTCAACAACAACAATAAAAAAACCAAAAAACAAATAAACACCGAAACGACGTTTACGTGCTTAAATTGAGCATCAACAAAGTGTTTGCGACGAAGCGCTTGAAGAATTACAACTCGATTTGTCCCACCAAAACACAGTGGGCATCATTCAACAACACACAATGTTTTTTTTTTCGTCGGAATGGATAAACGATCAAACGGATCGCGATCAAGCATCGAAACCGTTTAAAATATGTTTGTTGTGCAAAGAACTTGAGAGAAAAACTACATCCAAATAAAATCTCAATTAATTAGTATGGAACACGAATTCCAAATACAGACATTTCATTCGTTTTATACTTACATAAGACACACATACATGCATGCACTTGCGTGTACATTACCGTGAGATACTGATGAAAAAAAAATGAAAAAAAAAAATGAAAATGTTCCATTTTTCCCCCTTTTATTTTATGTACATACATTCATTTATTTGTTTATTTGAATGCGGTGTTTATGCGTTCTGATTGTGTATCGAATGAAATGCAATCAATCGTACGCTGAGAGAATAAAGTGTGCGTTCAGTTCAAATGGTCGTTTGTTTGAATTTCTTCATTTTCTTTTACAATCTGTTACAATGCATGTTTTTTCTTCTCTCGTTGTCGTCAGTTGGTTCTCACATGCTGGCTTTTCACATTGTTACTAAATGATGACCAACATAATACACACAGTTTTTGAAGAAAAAATAAATGTTAAAAAACACCACAAATTGGCTGCCGTGGATCGTACATATCTCTTTTCACATTCTTTGTGATCTCGCAAGGCTATCTCTTTCTATCGCATGTAGACAGTGTGTTTATGTTTGGGTTCTATGTCTCTTTGCCGTCGTCATCGTGGTTGTTGTTGTCGTCGTTCTTGTATCACTTGTTCTCTCTCAATCAATTGCAAAACGGCTGTTGGAGTGAATGAAATGGCAAAGCAAAGGCACCCGCTCGACGCGAGTCTCTCGCAGTATGTATGTAAGCACCAGCGCTGGTGGTAATGCTATATAGTAATACACAGTTGGTCTCGCACATATTTATGATTGTATTGTTGCCTGTTTCGTTTACTTCTTTCCATTCTTCAGTTGGTCTCTCATTCCTTTTTTTTTCTTCTCCCTTTGGTTTTGAGCCTCTGAGTAGTTCATTTTTTTTTTTCGTTTGTGTGTCGTTCGGCGTTCGTTATTACCAATTCAAACATCACCAAATATGTGAAAGAAACAAAAATTATGTCTGTTATTTTCTATATGTCTCTCTCTCTCTTTCTCGGCAAGACGTTTGTTTGTTCATGTTGAGTTGTCGGGTTGATACAGGCAGATAACAGGCACATGCACTGTCTCTCGAATACATGTTGTGCACCGCAACACCATAGCAAATACAATGTGTCTGCTACATTGCGCTTCGTGTCGATTGTATGTATATGTTCATATGGCATGATGGGATATATTCTTGTATACATTTTATTATTCTCTCTCTTTGGTGTTCTGTTGTTGTTGCTGCTTCGATCCGATTCCAATTCCATTCGCCACTTGTTCTCTCTGTTATATTGCCTGTGTGTACCGTCGATTTTTTTTTGCTTCTCTCGTCTGTTGTTGTCTTTTCAAGTATGTGAGTATTGTGTGTGCCGAGCACATACACAACATATAGTTTCTGGTGTTGTGTGCTTTTTTTTCCCTCTTCTCCATTCCCATTTATTCCTTTCGTTTCTTTTCACTCTCTGCACTCTCGAGAAATATTTCAGTTTGTGTTTCACATTTTCGTTTGAATATGTTTTCGTGGATGCCAAACATACAAGCGAACAAAGACATAAACAAAATACGCCTGCCGAAAATCCGAATGAAATTGAGCTAACGCGAGTGCAATGATCATCATAAACATCACAACATTTCAACTTGGTCCACCAAGCATTGTTACTGTGTGTGAACAATGAAGTGTTTCTTATTTTTATTTTTTCTATTTTTTATTCTTTCATTTTCATTGATACGTAAAATATGTGATTAGTTTGTGTGCTTTAAATCCATTTCGATCACATTCGATTAGTTAGTGCTTTTAATTCTCACGGCATCGAATCGAATCGAATCGATAAGTGTAAATTCAAACATATATATATATATATATACACACGCACGGAGAAGAAACGAAAAAAAAAAATATTTACAAATCAAATCAAGCAGTCAACCATACGCAACACATACGCCAGCTAAGATGGACGTTATAAATTCAAATTCGTCCGATGGCATCCAGAAGAAAAAACAAAAGCGACCACGAATCAATGCAAAAATCAAACAATTTTCGATTGAAATTTATTTCATGTGGTTTAGTGCATTGATATTTTTCGCCGAAACATTTGTTGGTAATAGTTGCAAAATAAAAAAATCTCTTTAACAATCAAATTATAATATAATTTACAGAAATTCCAGCGTTTAACCTTTTGACCAATGTTAAATATAAAACATTTTAAATTAAAAAAAAAAAACGAAAGGAACAGAAATAAACACGACATGTAGTAAACAAGTGAATAGTTATAAAGACGCGGCTGGTATTTTTTGTTGATGTTTCGTGCGTTTTGTTGTTGTCGTTGTTGATCATGCCGCTGCTGCTGTTTTTCACAACAACAACAACAACAACAACAACAACATAAGCGGTGAATTTCTGCATGCCCTTTGTGATTTTGATTCTGTGTGTGATGAACTAAGCAGAAAAAAAACAACAACAAAAATAAATTGTTCAAGATTATTATCTTGACAAAATGAGTTCATTTTAAATTCAGTTTTGTTTGTTGGTGGTTTCTTTTCATTATCGTGTCTTTTTCTTTTTCTCGTTTCGCAGATTTTATGCTAGTTTGTTGTTACTTCGTGAAAAATGAAGTACAGTATGGAGTTATAACGTTGACGCTAGTAATTGTACCATCAGTGTTGTGTCAAATTTATTCATTGTGGCTGCTGCGATCGGATAGTACGGTTAGCGCCAGAGCACTTATGATGCACATTTTATTGCTCGGCATTCCATATCGATACCAAAATATTCTGCACAAAATTTCACGCAAGGATAAATCAATGTCGGATGATGAGGAACACACCGTTGAAGTGATAATCGATCGTATTCGCGATGTGAACGCCATACAAACTGTTAATGCCATATTCCAATATTGTCCACAGTTCCTTTTCCAGTCATTTCTCATAGTCTATCGTCACTACAAGTATCTTATGACAGGTAGTCTTTTCATTTCTACACACCACAAAGGGACAGAGCCGGAGAAAAAAAAATGTAGCAGATTTTTTTGTAATTTTGTTGTTTTTTTGCAGGTGTTTCAGCTGGTCTGGCAGTTTTTTCATTTCTCTGGCACATTTTCATCCATTTCTTCTATTTAATACGACGTTTTAATGAGGATTATAAACTGAATGTACATTCAACCGGTGCACCAACACGATCAACAACGCACATTATCGACAATTTATCGTCGTCACATAACTCAAATTCGCAAGTCTTTTTACCAATTAACGGAACGATTGACTCGAATGAAGCGACTGTCACACCGATCATTGATTTACCAAATGTCATTGATGCATCTAATTTACCCGAAGATTTGAAAACATTTGAAAAGGCTTCTTATAAGACTGACATGAAGAATTTCGTTGAGTCAAAAAAACATGGCGTAAAAAATGTGGAGAAAACGAAAATGTTCGGTTTCAATAAACGTCAACCGATTTATGAGCACGAGGAATTTGACATGATGTGTGATTCAACAAATTTTTCAACGATTTTTTTTGAAGTGAACGATAGCAATTATATGACTTCAAGTAAATTGGATAATTCACGAATTTCATCATCAACACAAACCGAACAACCCAAGTTACGTGAAATGTGCAAATCAATGGACGATTTACAACAATCGAGCCCAAACAAAGCCATTCTATTTCACAAACTCTCCTCATCAACCGACAATTTGAAGCAAATCGAACGGGTCAATTCATCCGCTGATGATAGCCCAAATTGTCTAGACAGCATGCAAAATATATCAGACAGTCGTAATAGTTTACTTAAACGCAAAGGAATCTGTTCATCACAGGTAAATTTAATGCCATCCCTAAGCATTTTTTATTTTATTTTTAACATTTTTTTTCTTTCGTTACAATTGAAAATGCTTCAATCAGGAAATGCTTCATTTAGTCGATATTATGAGTGATCACATTTCAGCAGAGCAGGTGGATGTGTTAGCAAAGAGTTTGATTGAATTGGGCGGTGCTGAAAGTTCCAGAGCTGAAGCCGAACAAAAATTGCAAGATCTCGATCGAGTGTCATTGTTAGAAAGATTACCCGAAATTATCGACGATAAGCTTATCGAAAACATTGATGCGGCCATTTATGAAAATCAAATAATCTTCCAAGAGCGAATTCGAAAGAATCAACTAACCATTCAGAATTTAAAGCTACAAGATCAATTGTTATCAAAGTATATTGAAGATTTCAAATTGTTGCCGGGCGATGGTATGAGCGTGTGTTTGCGATTATTTGTCGATTATTTGTCGATTATTTGTCCATTATTTTAAATTAATTCTTTTCTTTTGTGATTCTTCCCTTAGGTATGAGCGTGTGTGATTATGAAAATATGTGCTTTGCTAATATTGCACAGCAAACAAATGGCATCAAACATTGGCGAAATTATTTACAAGATATTGATACAAATCAACATGATGATTCAACGATGCAGCATAGTAGCTTTTATATGCATACGAACACAATTTCAAATTCATTTACCGATTTGTATATCAATGAGAATGACTTTGGATCGACAGCAAGTGGTCAGTTTACCGATAAAAATGTCAGCACCCTTGTGAATGCGACAAGTAGCAATCTGATGAATTACAGCTGTGATGATGATGAAACTAACGAAAATTATTATATGAACATGACAAAAGGCACCAATTCACTGTCACCAATGCTACCGTATAATCAATGCCAAAAGAATATTTTGGTACAAACCATTAATAAAATTAATCACAGCGTCGTCGACTCACCAATTATCATTCGGACAAAATCAGATGCGGCCTTGAAAAGCGATTGATTTATATTTTTTTTTAAATAAAAAAGACTTATTAATTTTATTTAGTTTTTACTATACAATTTGAAACTAAAGTTTCATTTAGTTTCCTTACAAAAGATATGGATGCAAAAGTGAGATAACAAATAAAAATCTAGTGATTTAAATTTTCCCATATATGGGATATATACTTTCCAAATAAATGAAATTTTAAAGAAAATGAGAAAGTCCACAAAAGAGATTTATCACGATGCATTTGTAAAAATAAAAAGCCATGAAATATTATCATTCTGTTTACTTTCCTCACTACTATTTGCGTTGTCATTTTCGCAAGAAACCACAAGTGCATACGCATATGTTGACATATATTTTAGATTGGGATGGTCTGGTGTTTGATTGAGTCATTCATTTTGTTGCGAAAATTGATAACACCCATAGGTGATGACGAGGGTTCCTAGGGGTCGGATCACTCCCCCTAAAATATTTTTAGGAACCCTCAACAATTTTGGAAATGAGGACCTTTTTTTTTGCCCTTCACTTTTTTTGGCCGAGAAAATTCTTCCGATTTGCTAGGGTTTTTCGGAAAAAATTCTTTCGATTTGCTAGGGATTTTCGCCAAAAAAGTGACTTCAAAAAAAAAAAAAAACGATTTTATCCCCATTTCGTACAAATTGTTGACATCGTCAGGGACCCCCCATGGATTTTTCAAGGGACCCCCTACGGAATTTTGCCATCACAACCCCCCCCCCTAAATTTTTTTACGTCATCATCTATGGATAACACCCAATTGACGAAGTTGGAATCGGTGGAACAAACATTAAATATCTAAATCAAATGCTTTTTCAGACAGTTGCAAAAATAATCATAAACTGACCTTCGTTCACGAAATGAATATTTATTTCATTCTGTTTTCCAGTGTGTCAATACATGATTACATCATTTAAAAGAGGATATGAGCTGGCAGTGTCAGGCACACTGTTCTTATGCTATAGTTTTTAGTAAACGATAATTTTTATCGCTTCTCCCACGTCTCAAGTTTCATTATCAACCCTTTTTGTAAGCAATTAGATTTAATTTATTATTTAAGTTTTTTCGAATTTGATTAGGTTGTGAAGTTTTTTATTTTGTTTCGACCGACTGCAAGTGATGTTGGTTCTCAATTCGTGGACACAAGCGTGGACATCATATACTTTAATAAAATTTGAGAAATTGTAGAAGACACGAATTTAACTGAAAAATATAACTTAGTTACAACAGAAATAATTGTGTAAATCTTTTTTGAACTCTACTAATCGACACGGCTAATAATATCAAGCCAAAGATGAATACTCGCATCAGTTCGATTTTTGTCGCCTTTATACGTCAAAAATGAGTTTATCAGTGAATGTTTATATTACGATACAATAAGATATTCAACGGACAAAATAATATTTATTTGTTCTGATCAAATTCAGTCAAATGATTTCTTCAATCCAGACATCACCCACATTAGATGTTCAAATCTCACAGAATTGCGATGTCGTAGCACGGGTTCCTTGCAATTTCAAAATTGCCAAATGTCACGAATCAAATATAATATATTCCGTGTATATACTAGCCTTCATCATTTAAATCTTGAATCAATCAAACTGCAGTATTTGCTGAAGGCGTTACGTCATGGTGTCTGACGATATGGTGTCTTAGACCATATGTCGCATTTGTATAAGTGATAAAACGTTTCTGCTTGCAGACACTGATCTTATGCCATGATCATATAAATACGCTGCGCCAAAATATTTTCAATGATACGGTGCAAATAAAAAATTTGGACCTATCCTACAAAAATATTCAACAATTGGAGAACAGTTATCCTTGGCAAATATCAAATTGGAGACTTTTGAAGCAGGATCATTGCCGGACCAAACAAATTTGAAAATTGTGGATTTATCCAATAATAAATTGCTTGTGATTGAAATAAAATATTTGGGTAAATTAATAAACTTAGAATTGCTGGACTTGTCTCAAAATGAATTGACAAAAATCATCTTCAATCCAGTAAATTCGCGTTTTGCACACTTGGAAAAATTTCGTGTTCACAGTTCGTTGAGTAATTTAGATAATACGGGATCTTCTGTTGATATTGAGCATAATATCCATAATGTTAGTTGCATTCGAAATCCAAGCTCAACCATTAAACCCGAAGAAATCACTAGTGACGAAATGGGAATACAAGAAATTGTCCACACTCAACGGAATGAAAATCATATCGAAGAGAATGGAGCGAAGAAAAGTACTGAATATTCTTCTAATTCATGTGCGTTGAGTATGACGTCTGTTATTTTAATAGTTGGAGTATTTGTATGGACAAGAAAAGTGATATTTAAAAAAAGCAATTATCTAGGCATTAATATGCCTAACTATAGATGCGCCTATAGCCAGGAAGCAAAGGACGGACCACAATGTACTGCTGAAAATCTTTACGCATCCATTTTAATCAACAACGAGCACAAATAACCGCATTCCGCTGGTAGTATATTACCAAGTGCCATTTGAATTCGAATCGAAGTTTTATAACCAATCATAAATGTTTAAGTTTCAAAATGTATTTAATTATTTAATATTATTCTCAATTTTTTTTTTTAATTTTTCACACTCAACTTTTATATAGTCGTGTTTTATTTTTATACAGGTGATATACGCTGTTCCAAGTATTTTTAGTTTAAGTAAAACCCTTTCATTATCAGAATTTCTAGTCTGTATCTAACCCCTAGTAGATCTCAAGCATTAATATGAAAACACAAGCGAAAAATCAATCTATTATGAAATCTGAAAAAAAGTTTGTGTTGCTCTAACGTCTATGACGGTGTCGATCTTTGTCGCGTCGTCCATCTTCACCCCGTTTTCTTTTGTTGATCGGATTTTGTGGATTGGCTATGTCATCTGCATACCAATCATCTTTTTTTGTTGCAGCATCTTTCGCCAGTATTGATCCCATTTCATCGAATTTTAGAGTGTGCGACTGTTGAACAATTTCAAATTTTAAATTTCATTTAACAAGTGTGCACAAAAAAAAAACAAACAAACAAACAAATTCTCACCATCCATTTGTCCGTATTTAATTCTTCATCGTCAACATCATTTTTGGAAGTATCCTCTTCATCATCGTCTTTCGCTGATTTTATACTGTTTAATTTTGTTTTGAATTTGCTCAACAGCTTAAGTGTGTATGCCTCGCTGAATGAAAATAAAATTGAAAATCATGCGTTCAATTGAAAATAATGCGCGAATATTACCGTTCAGCACCCTTTTTTGGAACTTCCTTCTTCAAATTGCCATATTTACGTTGCTCGGACAAATATTCCTCAACCATTTCATTATCATGCTCCTTTTCCTTAGTTTCAGTTTTTTCTTCCTTAACTTCTCTGGACATTTTCTCTGTTTTATATTCCTTTTTCAAAGCTTTGATTTCATTTCGGATTTCATCGCTGGAATATTTAATCCATAAAAAAGACATCAAACATTGATCGCAATGGCACTTTAATATACTTACGCTTTCTTTTGTCGTTTTAGTTTTCTTGCCCTCTCCAGTTCATTGGTATACTCATCCGAGTCTGAATTGGAATCATCTTTCTTTGGTTCCGGTTCAATTTTCCTCTTTTCACCTTTGTCTAATCTCTTTTTCAATTTATCTCTAACACGATCGGTTTTCTCTACTACATTTGCATCACCATCCGATTGAACATGACGCTCTTCAATGTAGTCCCCTTTCTTTTCAATATGAACAGCTTCTTTACTTAATTTTGGATCATCAATAATGTCATGAACCGATTTCGATTTGGCTGCATTTTTCTGTACAAAATCATTGGTTTCGGTTTCATCTTCTTCGGCTTCTTCGCCAAACGATAATAGTCCAAAATTTCTGAAAAGTTTAAAAATCGATCGTGAAAAACGTTTTAAATCGTTAATTGAAATCGTTGTTTGTATACATACTTTACACCCTTTTCTTTTTTCGATTTTCGTTTCTCGCCGTCTTTTTCCGTTCGCGTTGATTTTCGCGGAACAATGTCATCAAATGGATTGAGCAGAATTTCGGTTTTAATGATTTTATATGGATAAACTGGTCGTTCATTGGCATCAATGTCGCCGTCTTCCATTTTGAGAACATTGTAAATGGTATCGCCGCCAACTTTACCAAAAATTGTATGCTTGTTTTGAAGCTCTTGTGCTTCGCCCAATGTGAAGAAAAACTGTGACGCATTGTCATCACGGCCACTGTTTGCCATTGCAACCAATCCACGCCGACAGAAACGTAATCGCGTATGAAATTCATCTTTAAATGGTTTGCCATAGATTGATTCACCGCCAGTTCCATCGCCATGTGGATCACCGCCTTGTGCGATAAAACCTTTTACAACTCGATGAAATATTGTACCATTGTAATATCCCTCCATACACAATTGGATGAAATTCCGGCACGCCAATGGTGCTTCTCGGCTCCATAGTTCAATGTCGATATCACCGGCTGTTGTTTTCAAGAGAATCTAAATCGCATTGAAATGTGATTTATTAGTTGAACAGAATAAAAAAAACGTATGAAAATCCAAAAATAGTGCATTACCTTGCCCGAAGTCGGCGGCTCTTGAATGTAAATATTACTCATGTTTGTTGGTCAAAAAAGACCTTAAAATAAATAATAGTTTAATTGCGTTGATTGAAGCGTTGACGTTTCAAAGAGAATCGTAAACAAGCGAAAAGAGCAATATGGCATGAATATTTTGACGTTTATCGTTTCACTTGTGAAATGTCAAAAACTCATACACAATACACATACATCGATAAACCAACTGTGTATATGACCATTTACACGCGGGCACTAAAGAAAACCCATTTCTAAATGAAGCGATTTAATTATATCGTAAAGCCCGTTTCATTTTTATTTTTATGTGGTTTGTCAATGGCAAAAAGTTTTGTCTAAGACAGCTGCAATTATTCAACAAAAAAAAAAACATTACATGCACAATACGAATGTCAAGTGAAAAAGAAATGCATTTTGATTTTGTGTTTTGTTCATTTATATTCATTTTCTATAAAATATATAATATGGACTTGATTATATTTTTGAAAAATAAAATAAAATATATGAACACTTAAATGCTAGAAATCCGCGCGCCGTAGATGAATGCGATTAAATCAATTTAATTTAATGAAGACGATTGCAATCCGCTCAATTATTCGATGCCATGTGAAGCATTAAGTTACCAGTCAATTTTTCTATCTTTTTCAAATCCGGCATAATCTCCGTTTTGTATTGAATACACTGTGAATATGGAAAATTTCATTTGAGTTAAATGATATACGAAAAGGAAATGGTATTTTCCAACTTACTTTTTCATTGTCTGTGAATTTCAATTGAATGAGCCCTTTGGAATGTATATATTTCAATGTGAATCGACACTTCTCCGGATTTTGCATAAACATATTTTCGGCCGCAATTTCGAAATCATCCCAATCCTTTAGATACACCATTTTGCCTAATTCAAATTGTTCCTAATCAATGAATGTTTAGACTTGTCTTAGATGCTTGCAATACTGCTTTAATTTTTTTTTATTTCCTGATAAATACTTTTTGTCTGGATAATTTCGGTGTAAACACCAAAGTGAAACTTGACAAATAAATGTATTGAGACAATTGCCAACAATAGCAACAATGCAGTCTGAAGTTAGTTCCCTTTCATAGTCAGATTTTGCACTATTCGAGTCACACACCTATTTAATGATATTTGTAATATTAGATGGCGACACTTTCACATTTCGGAAATATAATGCGAGTAAAAAATTGAATTGGTTAAATTCTTTTGCTTTTTTTTGTAATAAAATTAATATCACAGGTCATTTTGTAATAGAAAGGTTCATCATAATCTTAACAAAGCCGTCATAAGTACTCTTATTTAATTGGGTATTTATTTATAGAAAACAGTGTAACATTTGTGCAAGAATAAGAAGACCGCCAAATCATTATTATTTTTTCATCAGATAAAAACGTTGCTGGTCTTAGTTTTTATTATTAAAACCATAAATTCTGGCATTGAAGATTTAAGGAATTTTTGATTTCACATTTTTAAACATTGAGAGGAAGTTATTTTATTTTGGTAATTCTCAAAATTTACATCATTTTTTGCAATTTCCCTTTTTCAAAAAGTTCATTCAACCTAATGAAGACTGGCGTTGATCATCCTCTCGGAGATTTTTTTTTGCAATGCCATACTTTTTTGTTCAGAGAGGATGCAAAATGGTGTAAACTTGGTTCATTTTGAAATTCAGGGGATGACGATAATTATGATATTGTATGTTTTTCATGTCGTTTATTGCAGAACAATTTTCTATTACTTATTCAAATTAATAAATTAATTTTCATTAATTATCTTTCTCGATTATCATTTTATATTTATGTTTTGAATGAATAAGTGTTGAAACACTTGCCAGCAGAGGATTTAAAAATATGGGCACTAAATATCCATATATCGTATAAATGTGTGTAAAAAAAGAGTGAGCGTTGGCAGTGACATATTCTGAATTTTGATGTTTTCGGTCACAAAATCAATGGCAATTATGTGGCATATTCTGGAGCTGCAATAACATTAACTATATCGTTGTTTTGAGTATCATTTTGTTTTCGTTGGCATGTTTTGTATAATTTGACCATTGGATGAATCACTTTCATTTCAGCAAATAGTTTGTTTTATCGGTTGAGTTTGTGGGTGCTGCCGTTTCGTTTCGATCAGATTTTTTTTCCACTCTCCTTTTCTCGCTCGCATTCGTTTGTGTATAATTTCATTGTGTTTTTGTTATTATTGTTGTTTTTATTTTGATCCAAATGATAAAAGATATCCCTGCTAGGGATATTTGTGGGAGTAGTTTTATTTATGAAAATGATACCATAAAATTTTACGGTCAAATTTAGATCGCATTGTTTTTGGTCCTTGGTTGATGTGCAATAAAAATACGCTCACTCATATGAGTACCTATCGATGCACAAAAAATATGTTCTCACTCAATTTTACTTTGGTCCACTATTGAAGTTCACTGGCGTAAAAAAAGAGATAATCATAAAAAATAACTTTGAAATGTTGTTAATGCGACTGTATCGATATGCGTCATTATGGTTTTCACGCAAATTAACTAAAGATGTGTAAACGTGAAAAGTTTTTGTTTGTGACCTTCGAAAATAACAATTATTCAGCATTACTTTACCATAAAAGCGAACATACTCGAACATAATCTATTTGATTCTATTTACCGTTTTTTCTCACTCATTTTTTTCTTTATTTCAACAACGTTTCGATGCAATTTGCTTGCGAGGTGTATCATTTTCAATAAGATCGAGCAAAAAAGAGTGCTCCAAACTTTTGACACGCCAAAACGGTATGGTAAAATTAGATAGAGAGAGGGAGAGAAAATTGGTATTTATATAAAGGGCGAGAAAGATGTGAACCAAAACAAAAAATCGTCAGCGTTTGGGGAAGGTTTGCGAAAAATATTGTAATTTATCGTTTTACTACCCCGAATTGAATACAGCATTCGTAATTTGTTGTACATATATTCGTATTTCAGTGTTCAGATGTGAATTTTTCCAATTGTAATTCGGACGGAAAATTTCATATGCGGAACAGAAAAAAAAAATATGGTTTCTCGACTTCGATATATGGGATGGTAAGGAGTCAGACTGCAAGGAGGTGAACATGGCTTGAGTATGTAAAGAGAGGATAACAACAACAATAATATTTTCTAGCTTTTCATTTCTCATACATTTATGCATTAGCATCCATTTCAAATAATGTAATAAAAACACTTGGGATTTCATAAGTGAAACCATGTTTTGCTTACATTGATCGTTGAGATGATGTACTTTTTGCAAATGTTAAACAGAAATAAAAACCGATTTAATATATGTTTTAACAAAATCGTAAAATCTCAGTGAAAGAATGGTAAAAATTCGGGAACCATACCTCCCCCCCAGAAAAATTTGAATATAAATCCATTTTTAATTCCTCTTCATTAATTTTGAATTGCTTAAGCATTTTATACAAGCAAAATAAACAAGTGGTATATTGAACGTCATTAACTCGATTTGCTTTCGATTTGTGCGAGTAAATGGCAATCATTTGCATTTTATTCCAATAGTTTCTCTGAGAAAATTCCTCCATTTCGTTATACTCGTTTTTGGCAGTGTCATTGCCATCAGCAATTACCTTTTGATAGAAATACTCCCATTCTATTTCAGATAACATGTATTGATTACACAATTGCTTCTTCGAAAGAAAATACACATATATGGATGAACAAAAAAAAAATTGGATGGGTTTGTCATTGTACTTACGGAACGGCCATTGCGGTTGATCTAATAAAAAAAAACACCAAGCCATCCTGTGATGTCGTTTTTTTTTATATGGATCGTGCGTGTCCATCTAGCCACAGAGTAATAAACATTTACAACCGTATTGTTGGCGCTTTTTGTGAATGTTTGCCGACATCAAATACAGATTTTCAGTTTCAATAATGTGATTTGAATTCTTTTTCCGTCTCTCTTTCTCTCTTTTCTCGTTAAATGAATTGTTTTCGGGTTGGTTGTTAGTGGCCGAGGTTCAAGTTACGTTTATTTCATTTGAAAATTGAAGATAGCTCTAATAGATATTCAATTGAATTCGATGTCCGGCGTCCAAGTCATGGAATAAAAGAGTAAGGCGGGAAGAAAAATAAGTGAGACCATAAAAGTAAAAGAGAATTTTCCCTCAAAATGGCGTCATCAGTGCTTGCTGTTTTCTTCATTTTGCTCTCATTCCGAATTTCCCCTAATGCTCATTTAACTGAATCTACCACTGTGTGGTAGTATTTGTGGGCCGATTTTTTTTTCTGCTTATTTTGTTGTTATTCAGTTGATGTGAGCATCTAATTTTTATTCAGAACTGTGCGTTGGCCATGATCTTTCACGCTTTTCTCTTGGAACCATAGCGATGTCACATTTTATCTCCAATTTTCGCACTGTATTGGGGTTTAATTCGTAATACATAACATCAATTTAATATATGGCATGTTTCCGTTTTTTTCCACTGTTCTTCTTCTTAGCCAATCGACGAGTGGAAGCCAATAACAATCTGATTTGATTTTCTTTTGTGCTTTCGATTTTTGGATGTTTATTTAGATAATCCCCCATTCGGTTTTCCGCGACAACGACACAAAATTTGCCATCCATTTGTAGACAAATGGGTCGATTTGTAAAACATTTTTGTTAAATGTTCGCATTTTTACCGCAGTGTTTTGATATTAACGTTTTGTATGTTGTTGCTATTAATTCGATGATTCGATGGTGACGTTTGTTTATTTGCTGCGTATTTCAACTCACACATACATAGCAAATTAATGCCCGCACACCATTTTGCGTGAAAATTTATTTATTTTTTTCCTCTACAAATTACCAACTTCTTTTTTGCCCCCAAAAAATGTGTTGCTGTTTTCCCTCTCGTTCTATTTTACTTCTTTAATTTCGGTATATGTGTGCGTGTGTGTGTGTGTGTGTGGATCGCGAGAACGCAATTGGTTTGTACAAGAAGCTTTTATTGTAATTAATTATGTTAATGACATTAGATGGACTTTTTGTACGTTTTTCGCTTTATTTTTATCGCATCTGAAAGAGAGATGAATATCACCCGAAGACATGTGTGCATGAAATTGCGTAAATGACATGGGGTAAATCACGAAATTCTAGAAAACTAGAAAATTCTCGCAGTAGTTTTTCATATAAATTATATGGCCTTTGGTGTGAAGTTGGTTTCGTTTGTGACGTCATTCTTCGCACTAGATTTACTAGTTTTTCTAGTATTCACTAGCGTGATTCTCCCCATGTTAAATGATGATGACAGTGAAGTACGCACACTCATTTGATTGGCTGTCCATTGACCGTCAACCATAAAATGAGGGAATCAATTGTCTAATTACATCGTAACTAAAAATCTTAGACACTCTCAAAGAAAACTCAACATTTCATTCATTATGTTTAGGATCTAAACTTTATTTGTTTCTTTCTTGCTCTTTTTTTTCATTAAATTAAATTCGCTCATAAAATATTATACAATTTTGTATGTGTAATGTATATGGTGATTGTTGAAAAGAAGGGGCAATTTTAATAGCATATGAGACCATTTTATTAAACTCTGATTAAATAAATGTGATCGTTTTTTTTTTTTTTTGGTTTTTAATGACTTTTTTTCTTAATCCTTTTTAAGAGAACTATTTACAGATTTGCTTAATTTTCTATAGATGCTTTAAAATATTAACTCACGCAAATTTACTTATTAAAAACACGAATACATCTATATATCAATTTTATCGTTTAAGTGTTTGTGTGACACCAATGTGGATTATAGCTTGAAATTATACTTGGATGACAATAGGTGTTTGCTTTAATTTTCTGTTAGATAGAATTTATCTTAAAGTGTGAATTAATGATTGAAATTCAAAATGATTTTGTGTGCATCACTTTCTCTTAATAACAACGTGGACAATGATTTATTTACGTGAGAGATGTTCAGTATGTTCTTTTCCAGAAAATGTGCATGTGATATCGAGAATTGGCGGTGAATATCAATGTTGGAACCGAATCAAGTTGCCAACATGTGACCCAAATTCATAGTTTCAATTCATTCACCATTGGCAACTTGATAATATTGCATAACGCGAACAGCACATAATGTCAACTACGCGAATGAATAGATTCACTAAACTACGTCTTTTTTTTTAATTAATACTTTTGTTTTGATGAACTTATCAAATTTTAAGCAATTCTTAAATAGAATGAAAATAAAAAAAAATTATGTAAAAAGGAGAGAAAAAGCATTTTAAACGAAGAAAATAATAAGAAAATGTGCGTGTTTGTGTAAAAAATAACGATGAAATGATATTCTTCTGCAAATAAATGCGAATAGACTAGAATACAAACTTACATTGAATTAATTTTGTATTTAACTATACAGTGTGCATAAAAACTCGAGCTTTGAAATATTCACATTCAGAAAATTATAATATGAAAACGAAAAAGAACGAAAATTGTATGAAAAAAATCGTAAATATATGTAACTCATTAGAATATATTCGAGCGTTTATTACACGACATACGGTCTAAAATGAATGTCTTGATTTCCATCGGCAAAGATCATGGGTCGGCGATTTAGTTTGGCCGCCGCTTGCATACTTTCTTCGATCGATATATTGCTATTGTATTCGGATAAGTTCGAGCTCAAATTGACGATGTGTCGATGATGTTGCTCCAAATTGGTCATGGTTTTTGGATGAAAACCATTTGCATTGCTTAACAATAGATTGGCGTCAAGCATTTTATCGGCTGTTGATTTATTCGAGACCATGTGGTCGGTAATTGGTCCACCGTTTATCGATTGAATTGGGACGAGATTTGCCGTGTTGGTGGTTGTTGGTGTTACTGAGATCGCTGCCTGAGTTGAAGTTGACGATGACGATGATGTCGACACAGATGACGATGATCCCGATGATGACGATGATGATTTCTTCTCTTTGGCTTCTTGTTGTGCTTTCTTTGACCGTTTCCATTTCATTCGACGATTTTGAAACCATATTTTAACCTGCACATTTTTTTATACAATAGAAATTAAAAAATGATACACATTTAGTACAAAAAGCAATTATCGAATCATTAAATACCTAGAATAATATATTAAATTGAATTGCAACAACAGCACGAGATAAAAAAAAGATGGAACGAAAGCGGAAGAGTGGGGTGAGTTTGAAAGTGTGGGCGTTTCTCTGTAATATTTGTGTTTGATTCTTTTGTGGGTGCAAACGTGTGCCGCATCATTACATAGAATATATACGAATCCATTTGTTGGTGCGGTGATGAGAGATATGCTCTGCGATGAGATTATCATTTCTTTGCTTGTGATATGCTGACAAAATGGGAAAAAGTTTTTGCTTCAAAAACTATTCGAATTAGGCAGTGACAGAATGAACGATGAAAATATTTGGAAGAAAATGTCTGCAATGATTACAGCTTTTTTTTCTAGCATCCATGCTGTAATGCAGTGGTGTTATGAATGTGTTATCATTTTGGGAAAACCGACAATCAGAAGGATAATCATTTCAAGTGTGTATGTACGGTTTGTTTTTTGTTTTCATATTTATACGAACATTGAATGTATTCACACTTCGATCGTGTTGTTGTTATTTTTCTCGTTTCGGATTGGCCAAAGCTCTAGGGTAAACAACAACAGCAGCACAGAAACAACAGCACCAAAAAAAAGAGAATCAGATCATGTTCAGCGTACTAACACACATGTTTTTGAAGAGGAAAGAATAACAGAAATAAAAACATAGCCAAGTACATGCGATGATTACGACTTAGAAAAAGAACAAGATTGAAAAATTAAATATGATGAAACATTTATCTGGATTTGTATTTTTGCTTTGGCAAGTCGTAAGTGATTTGATTTTGTAGCTAAAGAGATCGCAAACAAACAAATAAATAGCCAGAGATAGAACCGAGAAAGAGAGAGAGAGAGAGAGAGAGAGAGTACAGTGAAGAAATAACTTCGACATAAATCTTCAAAATCGGTATTTGTGTTCACAAACTCTATCTTATTCGAATAGTATTTTCAGTGGCGAATGATAATGGTAAATCGTAATGGTGCTCTTGTTTTATTTTTTTATTTTTTTCAAACAAACGCGCACATATACATTGTTTCGTTGGCATTTTTTTGTTGAATATTTTAGTCTCATGTTCACCAAATCTGACGGACTATCATTAATTTTTCATATTCAGAAAATTGCTTGATGTCATTGTCGTGCACGCTGTCGTCGTCGGTGTCATTTATGTGTCTGTCGTTTTCAATGAACATAGACACTAAGGTATTTATCTTCTGCAGATTTTTTTATTTTGATGAAGAAAAAACACACACACCAGAAAATTCACCAATCCCTTTTAAGCAAACGAGCTGAGCTCATCGAACTGAATAGATTTATTGACGTCTACATATCGATGGGATGCAACACTCAAGTAATAATCGGAACCAAAAATGAATTTTGCGATGAATTCAAATCAAGACCGCCGTCGCAATCATATATATTATGACAAAAATAAATGGCCCATAAAATCATTAATGCAATAAAACATAGATGAAAACAAAGACACACAAATTCGATGTTGTAATTTTGCTGCACGCTTAAAAATTGATATTTTACTCGCCTGTGTCTCGGATAGATGTAAGCAGCTGGCCACTTCAAATCGTTTTGGTCGCGATAAGTATTTACTTTGTTTGAATTGCTTTTCTAATTCGAGTAATTGTTGTGATGTGAATGCGGTTCGGGGTCGTCTTGTTTTTCCCAACATTGCATGCGGCATATGAAGACCACCTGAAAATTATCAAAATTTTTTTTTTTAGTGATATTTGTGGATAAATTGTGCAGAACAAAAAAAAATGGTTCCAAATAAACTGATAAAGTCGTATAAACTGATTCTGTTTGTAAAGTGATTTTGCCTTAAAAATGGCGGTGACATTGTTCGTTGTATGAGATTTTCTCATATGCCTCAACCTCGTAAGCCAAAAGAACGACAAAATGTAAAAGAAGAAGGACAAAACCAAATTAGTTTGGCAAACATGAGCAGTTAATAGGAATGAATGCTGCATATGTACTATTTATACTTATTAACATTTAAATGCATGCTCAATCGAAACATGCTCGGCTAACTGTGATGGTGATGTTTTCGTTGGCAAGACACACATCATCCGCACGATGCATCCGTGCTACTTTAGAACAGACGATGCGTGGTTTGTACACTTTGTGTTTATTTAAAATTCAGTGCTGTAACATGATTAGTGTCATTTTAATTACACATTCAAAATAGTTTTACGGATATGGCGTTGCGAATGAGTTGGTTGAAATGCATCAAGCATTTAAGCAAAACGGCAACTAAATCGATTTGATGAATCTAAGTTCGCAAAGACTGTTTGCTGACAGTGAAATAGGGACAGAAAAAACACCCGACAAACTCCGGTGGAAATGTCAACAGTCCAATATGGTAAAAAAACTGTTCTGGTTAATTTAAGTAATCAAGTGTGCGTTTTGAGTGTGCATCACGGGTGAATTTGTAAAATCAATTGGCATTAACATCGAAAACAATGACCGGATTACAATCGAAAATGTTTGGCTTTAGTTTGACATGACATCAATTCCAATTTTTTTTCTAGTTTTTTTTTTTTACTCTTTGACAAAAATCCATCAACCGATTTTCATCCAATTTGCGATTTCGGTTGCATTTTTTTATGTATTAAATGTGTTTTACGGCTGGCATAAACAACAATGCAACGATGACAATCGTATCCAATGCGATTATAAATTGCATAATAATGAAGCACATAAAAGCCGACGGTATGAGCGTGAATGGTGAATGCATGCTGGTTTGATGTTTGGCTTTGGTGCATGGTGCCTTGTTAATTGTCTGCCTGATGGTTTAATTGAAGGGAAATTAACACCATATGTGTCAACACATAACCAGAAATAATAACAACTATTGACCATATTTTTGCAGCCGATTAAATCCTATCATGCACTTTTTCACTCTCTCTTTCTCTCTGCGCGCGTGTGTGTGTATCTCTTTCGATTTCATCCCATTCATTTGCAGCACCAATTTCTCTTTTATGATCTCTCTTCCATTGCTCGCCGTATGTGCACAAAAATAGAAGTTTTTTTTCTATCGCTCTCTATGCGTATTCCACTGAATTAATAACAGCCGCATATTGTCGAAGATTGTTTTTTTCTCTGTGTTGCTTTTGACTATTGAATTAAGCGGTACTTTCAGGATTTCGACAACATTCATAACAATATAAACAGAATCGAGGCATCACCGTAAAATACGGATACAGTAATAAACCTGGTCCCCTTTTCTACGTTTCTATTCATTCGAATTTGTCACTTTTGGTGTTGCCAATGAATTAAAAAAGCGATAAAATAAAAATTTGTCGGGCGAGACATACAACAAGCGAGTTTGGAAGGGTGCCGACGATAAACACACACACATACACACACACACACCTCACGAATAGAATGAATATAGAGAGTTGCACAACTTGCACAGAAGCGGTGCATTTGTTTGTAATTTAAAAATTAAGTCATTGTTAAATGGATCAAAATTAGAGGTGTTAATGTAAATAGAGAGTTAAACTAACAAAACAAAGAGGCATGAATGGATCGTCTTTATTACACATGGGCTGAAAATATAAATCAATGTGTGTATCGACCTAATTTTTAGTTTTCATTCAAACAGATTTGTGTCCATTGGATTTAAATTTTCCGAATCAGTGCATATTTAGTCAGTACTTAAAATGATGACACAATGTTCTAACAATTGATTTTAAATCGTAACATTTTTAATTCCTTTATAGATCTGTTTTGGATGTGTACTACACATACACAGTACCGAATGTCGAATATACATGTTTATTTTACTGTTTATACATTGATTGTGTTGATTATTATTATACGCTTTTTGTTGGCATTTACCGCACAGAGCAATTCAACCAGTTAGTAATAATGTTTATATGTGTGTATGTGTTCAATTGTTCTGTTACTTTCAGATTATTAAGACAATAAAGTGAAAGCATCTCTGTCACACACTGCAATTTCGGTGCAAATGTTCAAATTGTTTTGCCGTTCAAAATATGACTTGCGACCGATTTAAACGCAAATATATTACAAATCAAGTATGAATTGGATATTATTTGTTCAGTGCAGAAGATGATTGCATTGTATATTTGTTCGGTCGTTCATTTGAATTTCCCTTGAAGCATTTCGGTCATGTTACACAAATAGCATACATTTCCTCACATTATCGTAAATATTTATATCCAAAAAAAAAAAATGTTCGACCGCTTTTATTGTTGTACATCTCTCTCTTTCCTTTTCTGCTTATGGTTGCTTCATTTTGTCGAATTATATTTGGCGTGTTTTGCAAAACGCAATTGCATTTGGAGAAGAAGAAAAAACACATGCACACATACAAAACTATCAGCAAAAACAAATGAAATGAAAAAGGTAAATAGCCCAAAATGACATTCATACAGAAATTTAAAATACTCTCAATGTTTGTACCATGTGGATGTGCTTTTGAAAATTGGATTCAAAATTGTCGAAACGATTCTGTAAGGAATATAATGCAACAATCAGCATTCAAATGGATTATTAGTTGAACAAATATTGTGCAATTCGAATATTCTGGCTTTTTGCACTACATATACGCATATATATGTAAAATTGTATATCCATTCATAATCTAGTGTTCATTGGTGTTTTCGACTTTAGTAAATGTTGGTCAATTTATGTACACGAATTGTTGATGATGGGCTATGCAAGCAATTCAAGACGACAAAGATATTAACCATTTTTGTTTTTCTTGGATCAGCAGAAATGTGTCACCCTCACAATCATAACGATTCGTTTTATTTGCAAAATATGAAAAATATGTTCAAATTTGAACAACTGTAGCAAATGGCTCAAGTCGACCATATCAAAAAGAGGCTCGTTTGGCTGGTATATGGTATTATTGATGCAAACAAAGCTAGTTTAGCACTATTTTCCGCATGAAATAAACGCAAATAGATTGATTCTTAATCTCGTTCTTACTATAAATCATTTACTATGTATATGCATCGAAACGAGTGATCACGCTCATTTTCCAAAATGGATGAATAAAGTATTAGTGAGATTCAAACAAGTGAATCTAAAATTAATCGTTTTCGTATTCAGTGTGAATGCTGCGCAGCTTTACCGACCAAAAGTTTTCTCCGACCGAACAGATTGCTTGATGTGATGAAAATCCATAGAAATCTCTATGCTTACTTCGATCCTCTTTTTTTTCTCTCGTCTCTCTTCTTTGTCAGTTTTGTTTTTATGGATTTATTAGCCGGCTGGTTTAATTCATTGGGTCGGGTATGTCTCTTATGTGTATGTGATAGAATTATCAAATATAACTACTGTCATTGTTCGAAAAATGTAATCCGGGGTGGTGTTTTTGTTTGTGATAATCTGTTCCATATTTTTTTCTTCTCTCTTCTATTATTATTAATTTCACTTGATTTTCATTTTGGATAAATTGTACGTGCTGAAAGCTCAACTGGAGTGTATGAAAATTGAAAAAGCAATTAATAACGGTGATAATTTATTCCGGGGGAAATGAATGAAGGAAAAGATACGATGTGAAGTGAAGATCAACGGTGGTTGAGAATTTTTTTTTCTGGTTGTTGTTGTCTAGGCTAAAATGAGCGACACGCACGACAGATAAGTATCATATTCAACAATATGCTGAAATATATGCTACATTAATATTCATAATTTTTCGGTCAATCCCAATAGTGTAATAAATATTAAAATCCCCAAATAAAAGGCAGATATATGTAGTTAGATGCTCGTGTTAATGGTGTGAATGGTTGTCTTTTTTTAATGCAAAACACCTTCATCGGTTGGGTGTTATGTGTGTGCAAGAGACCGAAAAATACTATTATTTGAACTCTGATTGTTGATGTTTATGTGTGTGCCGGATATACGAGGACATAATATGATGAGCATAAGCACCAATTGAAACGAACGAAGCACTTATTTACACATTTGCACATGAGCGTTAGAATAACATAGACAGAAATCAACAGAACACCACCGCCACCGCTAAATGGCAAAGCAGATATGGCCGATCTGCATGGCGGAGAATATGTTAATGTTGAATGATGATGACGATGACGATGTGCCGCTTAAAAATTATGATTTCGATGAATGTTAAGCGACAACATTTCAAATGTGATGAATGTATAATTTAAATGAGAGTGAAACAATGAGAGCACACAATAAACACATTCATTTGGCATATGATGAAGATGATGATCGTCAATTGCTTTTTATTTCGGCTCGATTTGTTGTGGCAAATGAGCGACGTTACGTGTTTTTTTGTTGTTGTTGTGTAACAAAATTCATTGCGAATGGCATAGGGATGCTTTGGAAACTCGTGTGCCGTTCTCACCATGACGTTCACGTATTTTCACGATGCGACTGAATAAGACAGGAAGTAAGGACACCCAAAGGGAGAGATAGATAGAGAGAGAGAGAGAGAGATTGAGTAAAAAGAACAGACCGATTGGCAGGCCTCATTGTACAAATATCCATCGAGAGACACGTACATTTGGCAAATGTATGCACAAACAATACTCACACACACATATATATACACATTATTTATTTTACTAGGGACATTTAAAACCTGCTAAATTCAAATCAAATAATAACAATACGCGGCGCACAAAAAAGGGATCATTTTGAGGGCTAATGAATAAATTGATTGTAATTTGTTATCTAAATATCGTTTATTT